CAGTGGAAGGAGGTGCTAAGCAAGAAGATGCTCACCATCGAGAAACCTGCACGACTGACAGGTGCAGGTATTAAAGTCCAACCAAAGGACAGCGAGGAATATAGAAGGGTCAGAAAAACCCTAGAGGATGTCAATATTGAGCACCATACATATTCCCTTCCAGAGGATAAGCCACTGGGAGTGGTACTAAGGGGAATGCCCATCATTACCACCTGCCAAGAGATCGGAGAAGACTTGGTCAGGCAAGGCTTCCACCCAAAGAGGGTGAACAGGATGACCAGCAGAAGGACTGGCAAAGCGATACCGCTAAAGCAGATGTCCCGAAGGAAGAGACGGGGATCTACAAAATAAATGCCGTTTGCCACATGGTGATCCAAGTGGAGGCACTCAGAAAGAGGACTGGACCAGGTCAGTGCTACCGATGCCAGCAATTTGCCCATAGCCAAATGAACTGCACGGGAGAGCCGCGCTGCGTTAGATGCACAGAAAAGCATAGAGCGGCGGACTGTAAGGTCCCAAACGAAACGCCCGCGAAGTGTACAAACTGCGGGGGAGAGCATCCCGCAAACTTTGGGTTATGCCCAAAGAGGCCGAGTGCAGGGCCAAGGGATAAGAAGACGACAGCAAGGGGCACAGCGCGAGCAGCGCCAGCACCCAAAACCATAACTAGGCCTAGTCCAGTTCAGGAGGGCCGTAGTTATGCGTCGACAACAGCTGGGACACCTAAAGTGGCCCAAGCCGCTCAGGCCAGCAGTGCCAAAGACAGCGACGTCGAGGAGCGGACAGACTTTGCCACCAGATGCGCATCTCAAGTGATGTCGCTGGTGATGAAAAACCCGGCTGCCAAGAAAGCGTATTTTGCTCATCTGGAGCGAAAATACGTCTAAAAAGGGATAGCACTGACTAAAACTCCAAATGGGCACTCCAATAACCATTGCAAATAGGGGCCTGAAGATATTGAGTTGGAACGTTCATAGCGTCTCCAACAAGAAATATGAGATAGGCGAAGTCCTAACAAGAAGGAACTATGATGTAATGGCACTTCAAGAAACGTGGCTCTCTGGGGAAATCCCACACTGGACGATACAGGGATACACGACATACAGAAAGGACCGCAACAGAACCGGAGGTGGGGTGCTACTTGCTGTCAAGACCAGCATTACCCACTGGGAACTGGGACTGCCAGAACTGAGAACTGCAGAGGCCGTAGGAGTGACGATACGCACAAGAGACCACGGCCCTCTGAACATCGTATCGATATACGTACCACCTACATCGACGATTCATCTGGAAGATGTCACCTGTATCACTGCACTGGGAAACAGTACCGTGATCGTAGGTGATCTAAATGCGAAGTCCACCATTTGTGGCTCAAGAAACAGAAACAGTCATGGCACTGTTCTCGAAAGACTAATGGATGAACCTGGATACACCATGATAGGTCGGGATGAACCCACAATATACCCCAGCAACGGAGGTAGACCAGACGTCATAGATATGGCGATTCTGAGAGAAATCGACATGCGCACGACCATCGGCGCCTTGCAAGAGGGAAGCTCAAACCACAACCCCCTTCTTTCTCTATATGGGAGATGGGAGAACAGCTGTGGAGCAAAGAACAGTGAAGAGGGTGGATTGGCAGCGTTTTAGAACCAGTCTGCACTATTCACAAGGACCACTACTTCAGATCGAAAACCCTGAAGGCATAGAGGAAGCGGTCACGGACCTAGAAAGGAAGATTAAGGCTGCGTTAGAAGCCGCAACAACCGTGGAAGACATAACGCAACCAAACAGGTTCAGGGACCTACCTGACGAGGTAAATCGCAAGATCACCGAAAGAAATAGAGCCCGAAGAGTAGCCCAGGAGACAAGAAGCCCCACGGACATCATGGTGGCAAACAGTCTGACAAGACAGGCAAGAGACGCCTGGAAGCAGCATCATCAGAGCACCTGAGATAAGAAACTCGAAGAATTATCTCCAGCTGACCCAGGAGCCAGGAATGTGGAATTTGGCTAAAATCCTCAGAAACAGAAGACAGCCCATCCCCCCAATACACAGCGAACAGGGGATGGTGTACACAACCGAAGAGAAGGCAGAAGCTTTTGCTGATAACCTTCAGAGACAGTGTACTCTCAATACTCACCCCGATGAAGATGCGTCTTCGCGAAGACTTCATCGACGAAGTGGTGAGAAGATCGAGGAGAGCTGTAAGAGGAGGAAGAGCCATTGAAGACATGACCTCTTCAGGCGAGGTAAGGGAAATCATCGGAATACTCAAGGTGAAGAAAGCACCGGGTGTAGACGAAATTGGGAACAGAGTCTTGAAGAGACTCCCGAGGAAAGCGATAATGGCAATTACCAACATTGTCAACGCCATACTGAGACACCGATACTTTCCAGATCACTGGAAAGTAGCCGAAGTGATCAACATTCCAAAACCTGGGAAAGATCCAAGGTTCCCCCAAAATTACAGACCCATAAGCCTGTTGACGGCACTGAGCAAGATTGCGGAAAGGGTAATCGAACTAAGACTGAGGAACGAAACTGAGTAGTTCCAGACGAACAGTTCGGATTCCGAAGCGAACATTCAGCAGAGCACCAGGTCCTAAGGCTGGTCGAGATGGCAACGAAATCGTTCCAGACTCGGCGGGCCGTGGGAGCTGTGTTTATGGATGCCGACAAGGCGTTCGACACTGTTTGGCATGACGGACTGATCTACAAGATGGTAGACCTCGGATACTCAAAGGGGATGATCCAACTGGTGAAGTCCTATTTGAAGCACCGTAAATTCCGAATTAGGATTGGTAAAGAAACTTCGACGACGAGGACTGTGGAGGCAGGAGTACCGCAGGGAGCGGTTCTATCACCCCTGCTGTATGCAATCTACAGTTCAGACATCCCGAAGACTCCACAAACGCAACTGTATGTGTATGCGGACGATACAGCATATGCGGCAGAAAGTACGAGACCCCGCATGGTTACGGAATATCTGCAACGAGCGACTACCAACCTAGAGGAATGGTGCATCAAGTGGAAGATCCGTCTCAACCCTGAGAAGAGCGAAGCGGTACTGTTCCGAAGAAATTGAAGATTACCTCAAACCAGAATAAAGATGACGACCACCAGAATGGAGAGAGGCTGGAGAAGAGACAAAGAAGTTGAGGTCGACTGGAAGGACTCCAGCACATACCTTGGAGTCAAGATGGACCAAAAACTCACTCGGAAGAACCATGTCGAGGGCCAGGTGCAGAAAGTGAAGATGGCACGCTCCCGACTAAGACCCTTAACGGGCAGAAGAAGCAAAGTGACACTAAAGAATAAGACCATCATAATTCAGATGGTGCTGCTGCAAATCATGACTTACGCAGCAGTAGCTTGGGGCTACGTTTCCAAAACGATGAAGAAGAGGCTCCAAGCTCAACAAAACATAGCACTCGGTGAAGCGGTGGACGCACCGTGGTATGTACCTAACAGAGTGCTATATGACGAACTACGACAGGTACCGATCGTAATCCAGATGAAAGAGAGGGCCCGAAAGTTCTTCGAAAAGAACGAAAGACATCGAAATGTGCTGATTAAAGATGCGTTGCATTACGACCCAAGAACAATAAGGCGTCATAAAAGACCGAAAAGCCAGCTGCAACAAGAAGATATTTGGCCCTAGCAGCTGATGAGGCCAAAGAAAAGGGGAGAAGACCGACAATAGTTGTACACCCAAGAGGGGAAAGAACAGCCCGTGTACAACGGGTGGACAAAAAGAAGCCTGTCGATTGAGGTGGCCAGAGTCAAGCACGGACTCGGGGCTAACTGACTGACTCCAGGCGACAAGGAAAGAGCGAAGGCTCACCAACCTTAATGCGGGGCTTAGGTCAAAGCCCCCAGCGCAGGACCCCCAAGAAAAGAGGCCGTCCATAAAGTCGATAACCGACAGTTGGAAGAAACGACCACCACGTGCTTCCGCGACGCGTGCGCGATCGAGTCAAATTTCGGGAAAAAGGGGCAAAATTGGGGAGGGGGGCTAGCTCGTTCGACAGCACACACTCGGGGAATGCGCAGTGGCCTGAACCACGCAACGCCACGCCAGGCCTTCGGGTGGGAGAGGAGGGAGGAGCAGATTGCTCTTCCCCCACTCCTCAAGGGTTTGAGGTTGCCTGGAACAGGGGTGGTGGAGGGACCGCACAGGATAGGAGGGTGTGTGTGTGTGCGCGCTTACTTCGTTTCGACATTCGTTTTCTTAGCATGATCTTTATTCTCCATTTTAACATCGTACGCGAACGACTAGATCAGCCCATGCATTGAAAAGTGAATTTCAGTTTTAAACACTCTCCGCGCACGCAAACGAATGCGTGAGACTTTGCTCAGTGCGTGCGTGCTCATATGTAAACGCACCTTTAAAAGAACCAATGATGCAATATTGCAGAATTTGTAGCGACTATGACGTTTCGTTTCGACCTAAAATGGAGTGCCGTTAGGACCTACCAAGACAAATTTGGTTTTCAGTTTATAATCACCTCCGAGAGACATTCAAAAATATATTTTTGATGCTCCCGACGTCCCAACAGTCACCTGATTGATTATATTTTGTGTCCTGCTACTCATTTGTATTGTGGGTGAAAGGTGAGGTATGCGACTTATGGACTCACAACATATAATAGGACGACAATATGATGATTTTCTGTAAACATTTTCTATTTAAATAAGATTAAATAAACTGAAGAATTGAGATTACCATCGACTGGACTATATTCTACCCACAGGCGGGTTCCGTATCGAACAAAAAACGGATCTGAATTCACAGGAACAGGAACACGAAGTTCCTAAGCGTACCCACCACCTCCCCGGTCCAGGTACCCTCGACTCTTTCCGGCCCCAGTGGCGGTACGTGGACTGGACGCTCCTGCAACTTGTGTTCCTGTCGGACGCAAACCCCACCCCCCACCCAATTTTGACCCTTTAATTTTCGCGTGTTTCCCCCCCTCGGAATTTTGCCCCGCCAAAAGGTGTGGTAAGCTAATCTCGACGCGGAAGCACGGCTGCAGAACGGAAGTGGTCATTTATACTCGTGTACCTTTCTCCGGTTTTACGAGTCGTCCTCTATTTGGGGTTCCATCGGTGGGACCTTGACCTGAGGTCCGCATTAAGGTTGATCTGAATTCACGATACCAAAAAGGGCTTTTATAATGTGGGTCTGATTCACACATTTTTTCTTGTTGTTTTTATGATCCGTCAAAAGCGACAGTTGTCATCTTTCTGACTGATAATCAGTACTCATAACCTCACAAAGTTTGTAAATAAGAACAGTTGGAGAATTTCAATTTTTTAACTAGCATCAGCTGAATAAAGTGATATTTTATGGTAATTGAAATGAGATCTCCTGTAAGCTTTTGCAAAGATTACTTGTAAATTAATTGCTGCCACCCCAAAACATTTCTTCAACGTCAACGATGTATAATTAAGGATTTCTTGTCTTTTGATGAAATCACAAAAGTTCCCTATCGCAGCAGTTAGAGCTTGTGCATATAGTGATTCTGTAAGCAAAACTCATTATGATATAATCATAAGTGGCGGAGGCATGATAGGATCATCACTTGCATGCACATTAGGTAAGTAGTAGTTATATTTACTGTGACCTTTCATATTCTTTAACTAGATACACCTGCAGTTTTTGTATGTGAAATGCCTTACTTTTATCTGCACTGTATAAGAAATTTAAATTTTTGTATATATAATAATGGCTCTTATGCCCAAGCTAAATACATAACTTTTCAGTGTTCATCTTTTTTGCTCATACCAATATATACTTACAAAAGTATGCTATTGCTCACAAAATTTAGTCAGTGGATACTAAACTTACATAGTGCCAGAAACAATCATTGTGAAATCGCTTCTCCATCTAGTCAAGTACATAGTGCTGGTATTTTGAGTTGACTTTTGTGTTGTATGTACTTGATTTTTCTTCTTGACGTGTTGAATTCCCTAAATTACCCACAGCTTTTGAATGATGATAATTGTAATAGTAATCTGAAACTTATCCTGTGGTTTCATGCTGAAATAACTCTATGTTTCTTGTTCAAATGAAACCACAGGTTCAAATCTTGAAGCACTCCTTATTGATATGTATAGATCAGCTTTAAATAAAATTTCAACACACTTACACTGCTAAGACAAATCTAACAACACCTCATATGTCAAAATCCATAAAGCTGTTTGGCTTGTAGCCTGTGAAATAGAAAAACATATACCTCTTTCTGCAGTCAGGTAAAAAAAGTATATTGATATGGTTAACCATAGAATGACAATGCTTGTGCATGGATCATTCTTGTATTGAATTGCAATAGATGAGAAAATTAAATTGTGTATATAAAAATATGATCAAATTTATTTTATATTATTTCATGAATATTGTTTCTTTGTAACACGTTTATCCAGTTTTTTTAAAATAGGTGTTTTTTATAATTAAATCATTTGATGAATAGTCATATAATTTGGGAGCTACATATAAGCGACATTGTTTCTGATTTGCATGGTTTAGGAATATGAACTAAATATTTTCAAAAAGGTCCATTACAGAGGTTTTTGAAGAAAAATGGAACATCTTACTTTAAAATACTATTCAACTTTAATCTGAATAATCTCTGTATGCATATAGTTCTCTAATCTTTTAGGTAAAAATACTAGACTTTCAAACAAAAGGATCTTATTATTGGAGGCAGGCAAAGAAAAGTCATATAGTTTTACTGGAAAATATAGTAATAGGGTTGTTTCCTTGAATCCAGCAACACATAAACTATTGAATGATATAAATGCTTGGTCCCATATAAAAAATTCACGATTTGCTGCAGTAAAAAGGTAGGAACACCAAGGACATTCCACTTCTCTGTTTCTCATAGCCTATTACAGACATTCATATATAATCAATTAGGGTTTGAAAAACTGTCAGAATATATTTTTTCTTGGGCTTATGAATGTGCTTAGTTAACTTCAATAAAGATGTATAGTATGTACAAAGTGAAGTACTCTTCAACTTTGTCTTAGAATTGAGTTCAATTTTTTAGAGTAAGTGGTTCTCTTGCCAGATGTATTTTCTATAAAAGATCTCTAGTTTTGCCTCACCATAAAATTTTGTAGGTTGCAAGTATGGGATGCAATTTCAGATGCATGCATCACTTTTGGAGATGAGAATGCAATTGAGGATATATCATATATAGTGGAAAATGACTTATTGTTAGATGCAGTTTCAAAAGAACTCAAAAATGTTAATAATGTTGAAGTTATTTATAATACAAGAGCAAAAGAGTATTCTCTGCCACTGCATAATGAAGATAAGGTTCAAATAACTTTGGAAAATGGTAGTTCCATCACATGTAGTCTCTTGGTATGTTGAAAAAATTTTAACAATTTTATCCAACGTTTGTATCATCAAGGGTTTTCTATAAAATATATTTTCGATTTAAACTTATGAACAGCTTATATTGTATTTGCATGTATGATCGTACAGTTAGACAAATAGCTAGCAAACTGAGAACATCAATTAATTTTCAGTTGGGTTGTGATGGTTTTAATTCCCATGTCCGCAAAGCAATGCAAACTCAGTATGTAACTTGGAATTATAATCAAATGGGTATAGTTGCCACAATGGAACTTTCTGAGGTTAGTATTAATATCTAAGACATGTACCAAGATATAGAATATATTATCGGTTATTATATCATTGCCATTTGTTCATTATACTAGAAAGCTTAAACTTTCTACAATAAAATTAATTTTGAATGGATAATAATCATTTGAAAAATAACACCTTACCATGAACTGCCATGAGACATTCAAATACAGTAGGATATAATCCAACTATACTTATAATGTGATTGTATGGAATTGATGCCATTCAGTTATCATTCATGTATGGTTAAATAATAATTATAATATTTAAAAAAATATTATAATTACGAAAATATTAGGAAGTAGTCAAATACTGGATGTATTGTGCTGAAAGATTCATATATTGTTGCAGGAGATACAAAATGTCATAGCATGGCAAAGGTTTTTGCCTACAGGACCAATAGCATTTCTTCCAGTAAGTAAATATTTACCATGATTATATGTCCAGGGATGCTGGAGACTCACTTTTTTCGATTCTTTTCACTTTTAGTCACTGTTCATTAAAAACATTCACTTTTCTCACTGTCTTCGCTCTCGATGTACATATTATAGTTCCTTATCGTTTTAAGGAGCTCTCCTCATTCTCTAAATGAAGTGATTTTGTTATTAAAAATCTGAGCCAATATGTATTACATAAGAATCTACTAGGATTAGTTGAAATCTACATTCAATTTTAATTCAGCTGTGCTAAAAGCACTGTATGTGCACTAGGAATTTCAAATTCGGTAAGCAATACAATACAAAATCGTTTATGAATGCAAAGTTGCGCATTTAGGTAACTAATAAAATGTTACTTAGATAGTATAGCAATTCAGATTATTTTTAGAGAGACAGACAATACAAATTTACCCTGGGTTTTCAACATAAATTGCGTTAACAGGGGCACTTTTTACAAGCCTTGTACAAGTAAGTGTTAGTATGTTAGTTCATCCGTATGCATGTGTAGGACAAATCCTGAAACTGAATTTTGAACCAATTAACCTTAACCAACCGAGCTGAAATTTTAAGCGCGTGTCTGGTTTGTATGACAATTCATTATAAATCGGTTAAGAATGCTTAATAGATATAAGTACGCCTCCCGCATTTACAAGAATTTGTTATATTTTTTATTTCTTTTATGCATCATATGCATTTGATCTTAAAATATTCATACATATGAATAACTATTTTTGCTCACGTGAATAAAATAGAAACAAAGACGTTATGAGTTATTATCGTTTATTTTTTATTTATATTATCCGTTTAAATTTGGCGTTATGGTATTCAATTTCTCATAAAATTAACTCACTTTTTTATGTATAAATTCATTATTTCTCACTATTTATTTTGAAAATCCCGTTTTTCTCACTTGAATTCATGCTTTGGGCCGCCAGCACCTCTGTAGTATGTAGTTTTATTTGCAAAAAAGTTACAACAAAATCAAACTTGTACTTTTAGCACCTACATTTTATCTTTTTACCTCGAATATTGCATTTTCAGCTAAATAGTAAGCAGAGCTCTCTTGTCTGGTCAACTGTCCCTGACGAGGCGAAAAAGTTATTACAAATATCCGAGGCGGAATTTGTGGACGCCATCAATGGTGCAATGGTAAATTTATGAGGAATAGACATATTAATACCAGAACAGTTTAAGTTATAGTAAAGCTCAATGGTTGAGCAACTATAAAGTCCCGTGTTTACTCTGGCCAGCTTTTTTACTCCAAACTCTACCGACAAATGTAACTTGATACACTGGTATCGCGTTTTGGTAGCAGAAATTGTCGAGCTGAGCGAATTTTTCTTCACAAATATAATGATTTTTATTTTCAGTATCAAACTTATCAACACAGTAACATAATAGATACAGCTACCAAGATATTCGACAATTTCGTTCGTTTTTTCAACTGGCCAGTTGATATGTCACGCCGCTATCCACCAAAAATCAGCCGAATCGAGGAAGGTAGCAGAGCTGCATTTCCTTTGGGATTCGGTCATGCTGCTAGCTATATCTCCAAAGGAGTTGCTCTAGTTGGGTAAGATAAAGTTAACGCCACTATCGGACAGTACATTCTCGTAGACGGCTACTTTCAAATATTCAACCGAATCGAACTCGTAGTTTTGTTTTGACCGCGTGTGGAAGCGAGCGTGTCTGCGGATTTTAGACAAATGGAAAAATAGCAATATCGGTTGGTGATTCGAGTCTTGTTATTATAAAGGAAATTTCGCAGCGAAATCAGAGAGCGCTTGGGTGTTGAGTATGGTGACTCTTCTGCTTTGATGGCGACCATCAAAAATTGGTTTAACGAGTTTCAACGTGGACGCACGTCTGTTTTTGATGAACGACGCCCACGTACGGAAAACGGCTACCACGGAGGATAACGTGGCAAAAATCCTTGATCGCTTAGTGGGAGACCGCCGATTGACGGTGCGCGAGATGGCTGAGACAGTAGGCATCTCAAAAAACGCGTGCGTTATATCCTTCATGAAATATTGGGCATGAGAATGCTGTCTGCGCGGTGGGTGCCGCGTTAGCTCACTCCGGACAAGAAGCGCAACCATGAGATCACCCCAGAGCAGTGTTTGACTCTGCTTGCAATCCAAGAGAGTTTTTGCGTCGTTTCGTGACCGACGAAGAAACATGGATCCACTGGTACACACGATAGACCAACGAACAGTCGAAACAGTGGATTTCACCCGGCGAACAAAGCGAAGACTGTTCTCTCGGCTTCTGAGATTCACAAAGTGTGATCTACATCGACTACCCGGAGAAGGGTAAACGGTCACAGGGCTCTACTATGCCGATTCGACGCCGAGTTGCAGAACAAACGGCCTCATTTGGCGAAGAAAAAAGTGCTCTTCCACCATGACAACGCACCGGTTCGCACCTATGCCGTCGCCACGGCCAAACTGGTCGAATTAGGCTACGAATTGTAGCCCCATCTACTTTAATTCTATCTACCAGATTTGTCCCCGTGCGACTTACTTTTTTTTCCAAATTTCAAAAAGATACTTGCCTGGCAGGAATTTGAGTCGAATGAGGAGGTTATCGCCCCCAAAGAGGCATACCTTGCAGACATCCAGAAAACGTATTTTTCATACTGGTTAAAGATGTTGGAGCATCACTGGGTTAAGTGTATCGAGCTAAAAGGAGACTATGTTGAGAAATAAATCGGTACTTCAAAAATATTCGTTTTTCTTTTGCAGGCTGAGTACTTATCGGAGCGCCCTGGTATTATATAATCACCGTCGCGAGACAGCTATATAGTCAACGCCAAACAAAGTGGCGTGCACGTCATCACGATAAAAATTCCCCGACCTAATGCCTAGGTTTCTATCACAAACAATTGCTCTATTGCAGTTTCATATTAATGTGATATATAAATTGTAAAATGGTCATTACTCTCTTATTATGGTTAATAGTCATATAAACATTGTTATTAAAATATCACATAAGTTGCTTTCTGATAAATTTAGACGCATTATGCGAAATAAAATGTTTTGCAAACGCTCCAATCACTTATCGACATGTAAACGCACTAAACCGATTTCGCAGCGTTGACACATTGTCACCTTGAAACTTATTTAAACTGGGAACTGACATTTGTATTAATTTTGACACTGAATCAATTTGTGGCATTTCAAATCTTTATAAATCCTTTGGCCCCGCATACTGTAAATCAACAACTGTTTGTTTCAAAACAAAATTATTCATTTTACGAGTAGATAAAGGCAATTTTGGTATATAAAGATGCCCAAACAGTTAAATAGTCGGTGTAAGGAACTCGTGGCCTCGTTAATGCACTACTTTGAGCAAGAAAGGGACAACAACGGGCCTTTGTTGCCTTTAAATGCTGTTCAAGAGGTAGGTTACTAATAATTATATGTAATGTATATTAATAATAGTGAAATTTTATTTCATTTTTTTGTAGCGTGTTGCTGCTGCTTTAAAAATTAGTTTAAGGACAGTTAGTCGTATTTCCGAGGGTGTGAAAAGTGATGCAAATTTAGAATCGCCCAAGAAAAAGCGGAGTTATATTAAACGTGTAACCAACACAGCGACATTGGATACAAAGTGCCATTCGAGAAGTGATCTATAATATGTATCACAAAAGTAAGATCTTATTATAATAACTTATCAGAAATTTGCATTAATTTGTTAACTAAATTATAATGTCATATTACACATGGTTTCAGAAGAACAAGTTACGATACAAACTTTATGGTCTCGATTAAGAGATAGGGCATTATTTGATGGTAGTGCCACGTCTTTAAGGCGGTTGCTTAGAGATCTTGGATTTAAGTGGCTTAAGGACAATCCGCGACGAGGGCTCATGGAACTACCAAGTATAGCTTTGAAAAGGGTTGAATTTCTAAGGCAATACAATCAAGCCAAGGTTGAGGCCTTATACCAGTTTGTCTTCCTCGATGAAACTTGGATATTTCAAAATGGGACCATAGGTCGCTCTTGGCAAAATGGAAACCAAAAAAGCGTGAAAGCTATTAAAACAGATGGTAAAAGGTATGTACTTTTACACAATTTGCACTATAAAATTTAAAACTAATATATTTTAGATACATTATATTACATGCTGGAAATGAAAATGGGTTTATTGAGGGTAGTGAAGCGATATTTTCTTCGAAAACAAAATTGAGCGATTACCATGGAGAGATGAACCAGGACAATTTTTTGAAATGGTTTCAACATCAGTTATTAGAAAAATTGGAGAGTCCATCTATGATTATACTGGATAACGCCCCTTATCACAGCATGATATTGAACAAAGTGCCCAACAATGCATGGACAAAAAAAAAATATCCAAGACTGGTTGACAAATCAAAACATACCATTTTTAAACACAATGTTTAAAACAGAGCTATTGAGTATTGTTGCTCGGTACATAATGCTTCTTAATTATATATATTTTGGTCGACAGTTTATATTTCTTTTGTTTATTCCTATTCTTAAAATTACTGCTTTTTTAGAAACAAACCACCTAAAATATACGTGATTGATGAATTGGCGGAACAACATGGGCACAAAGTTCTTCGTCTGCCTCCTTACCATTGTATATTTAACCCTATTGAGTTAATTTGGGGCATAGCAAAAGGTTACTATAACAGACATATTGGTAGAGATGGTAACAGTGAAAAAGACTGTTTGGATATGTGGAACGAGGCTCTACAAACGGTTACCCCAGACATGTGGAAAAATAGTGTTCGACATACTGAGCAAGACATTTTTAAATGGTATGAAAGAGAACGAATTTTTGATCGACCAGACATCGAACCTTTAATAATCAACTTTGAGAGTGATGAAGATTCAGATTCAGACAGCGCTGAAGAAAGAAACTCCGACTAACTTTATTGTACAGAAAAAGCTTACACCAGTAGCTTACCTAATTTTAGAATGCATTTTTCTGTATGAATTCTGTAAAATAAATACCATGCATAAAATTTGGAGGACCCCATTTGGATTTTTATTCAGTACCTTTAAGCTATCAATTAAATATGGTAGTTTCATAGTGTCATCTGATCAATAATTGTCATACTTAATGATTATGCAAGCACAGATCTATAATTTTATTATACTATTATTTTTGTTCTCATTTGAGGTTAATATTGCTTATAAACCTAGATATGTAAATAATAAATTTTATTATTTTACAAAAACTTTGGCAACAATGTAAATTTTTCAACACACCCACCTTGATGACGTGCACGCCACTTTGTTTGGCGTTGACTATAGTTAAAATCACGAAAGAGACTATTACGTCATACCATAAATTGTACTGAAGTATGTAATCAATGGACGTACGTCGATGATTAAATCACAATGTCAGGAACATATAATTATTATGACAATGAATTTATATTATGATTTTCCGAAGTTAGGTTATTTCACTGATTATCTTTACTTTCATTTTATTTAATGGTTTTAAGTGATACTTTAATAATAATTTTAGTGGGGAGTTTTTGTTTTGAAAAAAAGTTATGAATAGAATACACCCTTAGACAGGAACACCAAAGACCAAAGTATTATTCGAAAACAGCCTAACCTGCTTTAACATAACCTAACTATTCATCTTTCAGATATGATCGAACATGCAACATGAAAACATCGTCTATCTTTGTCGGATACATGCGAATTAGCAATACAGTTTTTTTAGACAATAAAATTATGTGTGTCTCTGTCTAACATATCTGAAACTTCATTAAAAATGTTCACAAATCGCTGACGTTTGTCTTACTACAGACTAAAATGATGACGTAATTGTCATCCTTCGTGATTTCGACTATACATCGCAACACAAAGCTTATAAGTCTGAAGGACAGTCCAGACGCTACGTTTTGCAAAACCTTTTGTCTACGCAATCTTAAGACGGAATGAAAACGTTGCAATTTTTAGAGCGTCTACATGGCGCAGAGATATCTGTATATTTCGCTCAGTTTTGTGTGATATCGTCATAGAAGTGGTATACTACTATTCACTGTACTCCTTGGATTTGATACGCCAAATTCATGTGAAACGTTCGTATAATGCAATAAATTGTGTGAGAAACTCTCCAGAACATTGCCGAAGGTCAGCCATTGTTGCTTGGCGAATTGAAACTGAAGAACAAAATGAATCGCAAAACGATGCTATCATCTACATGCGTAGACTTGTCCGCACAGTTTAAGGAAATCCATGTGCTTTCGCTCAGTTATCGCTACAACTGTACCGTCTTCACGCCGGATTCAAAACTGTGCACTTTTCCAATCTACACGCAACGTTTTATCTGCAACGTGTTAACTGTGCAGACAAAAGGTTGTGCAAAATGTAGCGTCTGGACCGGCCCTAAGGCTGCTTAGTAAAATCGTGTGCAATGAGTGTTAAATCTGTAGATTGTCATAGCCGCTTTGCTTATTGTACCGTATCATACTAGGACCGTATCCGATCCAACAATATTTTTGGCATGAGGCATGTCAAGTATATCGCTGTTATGAACGTATTATCGTTTGCAGGTAATGATGCGGTTTATGCGGGACGGGCGAAATTTTTATCAAGATTATGAGGATTGAAAAATTGATTGAATCCGTAGCGAAAGGACGGATTCTATAAAAGAATAAGAATTAAATGTCACAATTGACGTTAACTATTGTATTGAAACGGAACACTTACCATACATAGATGACGCGCTGGATACGATCCTAGTATCGTATAATTCTAGTATGATATGGTATAAGACTTTCTGACGTTGATTCTAGCGATGCAGCGCACAGGATTCACCCATTGGCAGGACAAGGAGTCAACTTAGGTTTTGGTGATATAATATGCTTGAACGAGGTCTTGGGAAATGCAGTGAGCTGTGGGAGTGTTATCAGTGAGTATCGATTAGACAAGAAAGACGTATTATAGTCTAAAGTTCGTCATTCATTTTTGTTGAATACTGACTTCCGTTACCAAAATTCATCTTGTCCCTTTTAACACTAGCGAAATATTATCTAAAACTTTTAATTGAGCTGATCTTTACATTAAACACTAAGGTGGGCTCCTTGTAAGGCCAATTATTAAAAAGTCGTGATTACTGACATGTGATGATTTTTACTCACATATACATCCATAGAACTCAAGGACACAGACGCGGCGGCGAGTCCTTCGCGTCGTTATTTTGTGAACTCGGACCCCCGCTTTGTTGACACCGGTCGTCGACGTTAAGATTATAATTCTAGCACACAGCAGAACGTATGTTTTGATGAAAATACAACTTCTATTTAATTGTGTGGCTGTAGATTTCTAACGCCAGGTGGAACATTTAGACCTCACATAAGAAGGCCATTTGGGTCGGTTCAAATTGTTTTTCAATCAAAATGACAAATGACAACTCACTTTATATTGATATGAAACTCATTAAAATTATTTTGAAAATATTTTCTCGAATACATTCTTAGTTCTACGATCACGTTCAAAGTTAATTGAGTAATTTTTATGAGAATATGTTATTGTAAGTATTTAATGTTTCATTTTAACGCCCATAGTTTAAGTAATGTAAGCACATATTTTATTCACAATGTTAGTTTTAGGTTAAACGACTGATTTCTTATACCCTATTTCACGAGTATCCATAACACATTTTTCTGTTAGTCTGAAACGTTGGCAATAATGAATCGGGTGTAAATCTAGTAAAACCTGTTTATAGCGTTTTGTTTTTTGTATGCAAATGATCTTGTCTTAATAAAAGAGCTGTTAGCAAGTACAAAATGAATCCGTAGCGTGCAAAAACCCGAAACAAAATTCGGCCCTGTCTACCTGGCGTTGACGGACCCGTCAGAATTATGTGTCCTGTGCCGATATGGGGATTTTGAGATATTACCATATAATCTGCTGTCATTCTACCGTGATGGATACTCGTGAAATAGGGTATAAATTGGCCTTGCATGGTGCCTTATTCCTTGTGAGGCTGATCGGAAGAGATTAATATAATTATTGTATAATATTTTATAAGTTGCATAACAGAACAAAGTGCTACTTACTAATTTAAGTGTCACTTACTCATTTATTTCATTCATTTACCAGTAAATAAAGGCATAATAACTGTTTGTTATGTGGCTCTTCATCCTACATCCATCTTAGATAATATGTTGAAGGAACACATTGAATTACTATTACATTTCATTTTAGATGACCTCAGCTATCTCAAAGAATACGAAACCCAACGGCAAAGGTACAATGTACCAACAATGCTTGGGGTCGATGGCTTATATCGACTTTATAACAACGATTTTGCGCCCGTTGTTCTCCTCAGGAGCCTTGGACTACAAGCCACTCATGCCATTAATCCTGTCAAGGATAAGGTCATAGACTGGGCATCGTAGTTTAAATATGGAATGTTCTGAGATGTATCTGGAAGAATTTCACTACATATGGAGAAAAGTTATTAATATATATGTGTTTTGTTAAAAACTATCTATATAAATATATTTTACAATGAATTTTGTTTTTATTTTCAAGGCAACTATTCATCTCTCAGACCCAAATAAACTAAACGGTAATCAGTGTTTTGATGACTTTCACGGAAATCTATGTAAGAGAAAAGTCATGAAATCAGAACATCTTCAATATCTTTTTTGGCATTCATCTTTGTGTCCGTATCTTAAACCATTAGAGAAAATAAAGGCGTCGTCGTTAAAATCTCGATGTTGAAATCATGTCGCTTTTTTTACTTTTTGTAACAATTATTTTTCTAATGATAAAGAAATAATAATATCAAACGAATCTTATAGTGGCCTGCATCTGATTTGTCACTATGAACAGAACCTAGTTATATGAAAAAAGGCATAAAATGCATATGTATCGAATGCCCCCTGTAAGCTAACTAGCCTCATCACAGGGTTCACGAGCAAGACGTCACGTGTGCGGTACTCTCTTCGTTCATTGGCCGATCTTACGTCAATCCATCTTTGCCCCCACTTGTAATTTTTTTGGTTATAGGAAAACGTCAACATCTGACAGTTGTGTGGTTGTTATTAGATCAACTCGCCTTCGTCAATGGAAAAATAAATAGTTTTAGCATTGAAGTGAATTTGGTAATCAGTTTAGTGAAAAAATAAAATTGTTTGTTATGGCATCCTCAGAAGTGTATAACGACCTAACATTGTAAGTGCTGGTTTCTTCATGATGTGGAACAGCAATGGAATATGAATTGAATGCTGTTTACATTTTTAACTTAAGCCAACATGTTTAATGCTTTTAGTTAATTATATGGTTGTGCTGCAGTTATTCTCATCAAAGAAACGTGTAGCGACACTTGAAAGTCATTCAAATTGTAGGAATGTTATCACTAAATTGTCTTTTTATAGTTCCTAATATGAATCAGGACTTGGATATGTACATGTTTTCAAATTGTTTAGACGATATATGAACAATAAAATATTACACTGGGCTGAAACAGAGACACAGACTTATGACACAATACTTGTAACTACCAGCATCATCCTCTCTTCTATTACATTTCTGATATGATGGTAATAGAGCACAGATCACTTTGTCAGCAGAAAATCTATACCAACATGTTTATTTCCACTGATTTTATTATCTGATGGTTCCTTTTTTTATTTCAAGGCATATAACAGCTGAAAAGTTCTACATACAACCAAAAAATGGTTCTGAGTTATTGATAATAGACAGGCCATCTCAACATATAACTATTCAAAAGAATCAGGGACAAATTCCTAGTCATTCTACAAGAAAAGAGTTTTGTGGCCTTTTGGGAGCTATCAATCTCATTGCAGGATGTTATCTAGGTATACTTTAAATGTACTACTATGGTTATCTTTCATTTTTCAGTATACTAATTAATTTCACTTTTACCATTCTGTAGTGTTTCACTTTACTCAGCAGTCTCAAAGATACTCTCTATTAAATACTTGAGATAGAATATACAGTGCTTTTCAAAAATGCACCCCCCACACTCTACTTATTCTTTGAACTTGCTAAGCCAGCTATACCTTATTTCTCAAGTATCCATCACAGTAGAATAACAGCCGGTTATCTAGTAATATTTCAAAATTCCCCATATTGGCAAAGGTTACACATAATTCTGACAGATCTGTCAATGCCAGAGAGACAGCCATATTTTGTTTTGGTTTTTTGTACATTATATATACTTTGTACTTGGTGAAAGCTCTTTTATTTAGAAAAGTTCATTTGCATACAAAAAAACAAAATGCTACATACAACTTTTTGCTAGATTTTTGCCCAATTCATTATAGCCAACATTGCAGCCTAACATAAAAGTGTCACTCGCTGATCAACTGTTCACCTCAGTAGATGTCAAAGCATGGTGGATACTCGTGAAATAGGCATATAGCTGGAATTTGAGTTGGTGAAATTGATGCATAAATACTATATTCTAACATAAAACTAATACATAGTTTAAAATTTCAAGATGCCAGCTGGGCACCACCTTAGAACATTTTTGTCTAGAATGACAGATTGTCTGATACCTCATATAGGTTATTATCATAAGATGTCACATCCTTGTTTCCTATTGGTTGCAGGACAAACAAATGGATGACCATTTAGTTCAATGTAAATTAGCTCCACTATTTTTGCTTATATATTTTAAATTCTTAGTATAAATACTCGGGAATTTGTAGGAAATTGTTACTGTTTCTTAGTTATTTGAGAAGAACAATTGAAATGCTTTCCTTTCTGCACCAGTGAACTGTTTAATGAGGGGAAACATATTCTCCAATATGTTGGTGAAAAACTCAATCTTTTTTCCAAAGAGTGATGAGATTTATGGATTCATTGAAGAGGGATCCTTAAAGAACAACTGCAAGAATTTGATCCAGGTATTTCATACAGGGTGCTTTTATATTAATTTTGTAATGTTTTAATTGGTAATATAACTTATAGATATGTGAATTGTATTTGTTATAGTCTGTACTGTAATGTTGGATTATCCACATAGTCAGGTGACTATTGTTGTTTGTTGGTGTGCCTGTGAAAATATGTTGCATGTTCTTCTGTCAAGGGATTCCTCTTCAATGATTTAATCCATAAATCTCGTTAATCTTTGGAGAAAATATTGAGTTTTACACCAGCATTCTGGAGAATAGCAGGAATACATGTTCTCCCACATTAAACAATTCCTCACCACAGGAAGGCAGACATTTCAGTGCTTCATGACAGATAACAGTAACAATTTACCAGAAATAAACAAAAATAGTGGATGAACTAATTGGCCTTCCTTCAACCAATAGAAGGATCTGTCAAGGTAATGTGTTTGAAAATGATCTATTGAAGCTCCTTACCAATAGTTTCTAATACTAGAATGTCAATTTACTAACTTTTGAAAATGCTCAGCTTTGACAGCCTGCCATTCTGAATTATAGTCATTTCATATTCTAGACTTAAAAAAATTCCAAGGCGCACAGCCGCCATGTTGATATTTTCAATTGCCACTTGTATGCTAAATGTATGTATCAATTCTGTCGCTCCATATTTCAACTTGCTAGCCTGACCCATTCAAAAATAAGTATGTGGGGCGGAGTGACCTTTTTGAAAAGCACTTACTTTATATCTATTTATGTATCAAATGTGTTCAATTTCAGTTATTGTAACACAAAGAGAACTAGTGGGCTATGTAGCAGGGCATCCAATCTGGAGATTGGTTAAAACTGAACTTGTTCCATATGTCCGCAGTATGTTGCATTTAAAACCAGAGCAACAGAGAGATAATAATATTTATCTCAATATGGTGGAACATGTGCTATCAACGCCTTTTTTCTATTTCAGGTAATAATTTAAAATGTCTCATAAATACCTAGTGACCTATGAACTGGCATAACTCAAATTAAAACCCAATGGGTGTTATTGTATTTCCTATTTGTCTTTTTTTTATTTTTTTTATACTCCAGCCACCACGAAGGCGTAAAGCCTAAACACCCATGGGGTACCGTGGGGCTATAGGGGGATACAGGGTAAAGGGGGAACGCCACACAGACTCTGGCGAGGGCACACGTGTGCATGCAACATGCACACATTCTGGCCCCGCCTACGAGATAAGCCGGATGGTACCGCGTTCGACAGTCAGAGATCGTCTACCACCTACGGACAATCACAACATCCATAGCCAAGAGAATAATTTCTCTTGGGACGGGATTCGAATCCGCACAGCGCACGGCGACTGATGAGGAAACCGAAGAGACTACTACTGCGGCCACCGCTGCTGCCTTTATCATTATCAAAAACTGTGAAATATTCTTCTTGATGCTCTTAGGGCGCTTTTGAGTGGGCAATGTTGTTCTAGCCTGGTGATACTTTTGACATTTCCGACCTATTTTCATTTGCCCAAGTATTGGAATCCTACTTAATCTGTGTAATGCAAGCTGCCACAATGTGTATAATTTTGACCAGGTATGTGTCTGCACATTCCAGACTATATTGTCAAGATATAGCTGATATATATCACATATAGCTTTGCCATAAATATTGCTAGCCTAGATGCTCCATTAATATTGCTACCTAGATGCTCCATTAGCAACCTAGAATAACTGGCGATTCTCAAAAACAAAATAAAAATTCATATCAGCTTTGGTTGGTCAATTTTCAAAATCGTATCAAAGTCAAATGGAATGTACATCTGCGTTATTCAATGTCGTGGATTACCAGTCATACAATAGACAGACATAGACAAGAAAATATGTTATGTTATTAATTATTATTGTAACGTCTTTGTAACTGGAACCTTGAATAGTGGAGTGATACCCTTCGTCAGGCAACCAGAGTTACGCGGCTGTGCGAGAACTATTGCGGCCAACTATAAGCGATCGTGCCAAGTAGACGCTCTGGTGAAGCGATCGAGAGGGTTCGGTGCGGACAGTGAAGAAGAGTCAACGCTATAGTCCAGTCGTCATAGAAATAAATTTGCCATAAATTAGTTACAAGTGTTACAAATTAGTTTTAAAGGTGATAAATTAGACTTTGAACAGTAAAAATGGTGTTTTTGTTACATTATCGCTTAGGTTACTTTTAATTTCTGCTCATATTGTTTATTATTCCAGCTACACCTATGATATAACACATACAATCCAGAGATTGCACGACATTAATCCAGACTTTTGGCAGCAGTCAATAGTGGAAAGAGCTGATCCTCGTTTTGTATGGAATAATAACCTCCTAAATCCATTCAGAAGCGTTCCTGCAAAAAGGTTCTGTTTGCCCTTGTTACATGGTTTTATCTCCATAAATCAGTGTGTTATCAATGGTAATGGATTTACATGGTCTATCATTTCAAGGAGAAGTATCTTAAGGGCTGGAACTAGATGGTTCAGGAGAGGGGTAGATAGGGATGGTAAGTAAAATTGTAAGTAAAAATAGTAGAAAAAAGTGCAAAAGAATTATCCTGGGAATACAGAGCATTAATTTTTTTGAAACTCATCTCAGATAGTTAAACTCATGGTGACAATGTTTTGTTTTTATACTGCTATTTTTCAGGTAACGTAGCTAATTTTGTTGAAACAGAGCAGATAGTAGAGTTCCAAGGAGATAGGGCTAGTTTTGTTCAGATAAGAGGGTCTATTCCATTGTTTTGGCAGCAAAGTCCAGATCTTAGATATAAACCACCTCCAACATTATTGGATATTGACCCCAATGAGCATCATTCAGCATGTTTGAAACATTTAGAAGACACAGCTACCTTATATGGAAAACAGGTGCTGGTTAACCTTGTTGATCAGAAAGGTAAAGTTGGAGAATTTAGAAGCACTTCTTTGACAGTACTCATAAAAAGAAACTTCCAAGCATCTGCCTGTACGAGGGTGGTCTGAATAGTTTCTGCTGTGTATGGGGACTCTGCACCATCCTTTACAACAGTGAAATTTTGGGCAGCTGAACTTAAACGTGGCCGTAAAAGCTTGGGAGGCGAACGTTCGGGATGTCCGAAAACTGCAGTTACCGACGAAAACATCGTCAAAGTTCACCAAATGCTGCTAGAAGACCGCCGAATTAAAGTGAGAGGGATAGCAGAGTATACTTAAACATGTCAAAAGAATGTGTTTGTTACATATTAAATCAACATTGCATGAGAAAGCTGTTCGCGCGTTGGGTGCCGCGTTTGCTCACGTTAGACCAAAAACGAGTTTTGGCGCCGATTAATTACTGTGGATGAAACTTTGATACGCCCGAAATAAAAATACAGTCCAAACAGTGGACTGCAAAGGGGGAACCGGCTCCAAAAGAAGGAAAAACTGTTTTTTCGGCTGGGAAACTGCTGGCGACTTTTTTTGGAGTTATTTTAATCGATCATCTTCAAAAAGGAAAAACCGTTACAGGAGCATAACATCCTTTTTCACCAAGACAACTCACACCAGATCTAGCCACAAGCGAAAGTTTTGTATCTTTGTTAGGCCGGAAACTTTTCAGACCACCCTCGTAAATAATAGCAACATTCAGTTGATATATTTTCAGTTAAAAATTACTGAAGTCAAGCTCCAAAATCATAGGTTAAAGGCACTATTGTCAAAAAATTTTAAATATTTTCGCGTATTTGTAACATAGATAAAAACTCGTCGTCGGGAGGTCTTGAAATATAATATGAAAAATTATTATTAATTTATAAATATATATATATATATATATATATATATATATATATATTATTAATATATAAATTAGTTGTCCTAATGAATTTGGTTCGCTTGTAACGATAGGTGACATAAACAGAAATTTGGATTTAAGAAACTTCCTACTCATATGCTGATTCTATATTGTTTTAATCACAGGTGCTGAGGGTAGATTGGAACAAGCTTTTAGAGATGCAGTGACTAGTATTTCATATCCAGGTGTGAAATATGAACCATTTGATTTTCATGCTGAGTGTAGAAAGATGAGATGGGACAGGCTCTCAATTCTAATAGGTAAGCACTAGACTTTTATGGAACTACATTGTCTGACCGAATCGAACCACATATATTCTGTAACATAAAAGTCTAATGTACCTCCTGAAACTTATCCTGTAGTTTTTATGCTCATTCTGGCCGAATCATATATGTTTAAATTCCTGTTGATTGTACGACGTATAACAGTATGTTTTATTTATCTGTGTTCCAGGTGACAGTTCATTTATTTTTTATTTTCTTCATTCCTGTACATGTTTTGCGAGGCTTGTGTAACTAAAACACCGTTCGCCAATATTGTACACTAATTCATTACTTTAACACTAACTTATAACACTCACATGACAATAATAATACAATATAATAACCATGTCGACTGGGCTATAGCTTCCGCATCGGTGACTCGACTGTGACTGACTGCTGCCGCCATCCGGTCCGTTTGCGGGAAAATACTTTTGTTGTGATTGTAGATAGAGTGGCTCTAGATCAGGATGAAATGGGATTTTTCCTTATGTTACGCGATGGAACTTTGAGTTCATTACAAGAGGGAGTATTCAGGACAAACTGTATAGATTGTCTGGATAGAACAAATGTTGTCCAGAGCATGTTAGCTCACAGAAATTTGGAAATTGTGTTGAAGAAATTGAACATTTTGCAACCGAATCAACAGCTGGAACATCAAATTTCATTTGAAGTACTTTTCAAGGTAACAAGCAAGAATATCTTATAACCTACAAACAGAAAGATTGACACCTTAGATAAAATCCTCACAATTATTTTTTTAGAATGTTTGGGCAGATAACGCGGACGTGATAAGTATTGAATACAGTGGTACTGGGGCACTGAAAACTGATTTTACGAGGACCGGCAAGAGGTCAAAAGTTGGCCTCCTTAAAGATGGGTTGAATTCTCTTCAAAGATATTACAAAAATAATTTGATGGATGGATTCAGACAAGATGCAATAGATTTATTTTTAGGTAAGTTGGAACATTATTATCATTATGTTAAGGCAGTTAATGTTAGTTTTCTTTTTCAGGCAGTGGGAAGCTGGTCTCTCCTCTTACTGTAGACAAAGGATGGCGATATGTAACATTTCCTTCAGTGCTGCTGATGGCTATAACCATGTTTGTTGCTTCAGTAATTTTTCCGCTAGAGTACTCCACAGAGAACTTATTATATCTGCTCTTCTGGGGTAGTATGGTGATTGCAATTACCCTAAATATACTCAGGCATGGAGTCGAATTTGTGGATAAACCAAGGCTTACGCAGAGTTAGAGTCAAATTATGTCTAGTCAGTTACTGGGTGAGTCCAAAATAGCAGTCAGTTGTATTTGGGTCTATTGTTAATATAATTTTTCAATTAATGTAGACATTTCTATTTACAGTGATTACGTAGGAAAATTGAGATAAGGGATTCTAAAGGAAATTTTGTCTATGATATTTTAAATTGAATATACTTTTTTCTATATTGTGCTTTTTAGCTGTACTATTTGTATATAATAGATACTATTTTAACACCTACTTTTTTTTATTAACTCTTAATCTGGAATACTTGAGAGAAGATTGGACATATCTTTCTGTCTTTGAAAAGTTGATACTGCAGAACTTGTTTTGATTTCTTGTAGTTGTAATGGAACTAGATCAACAACCACTCATTTTTTGTGACAGTGATCTGAGACTACATGTTAATTAAATGTTAGATTGTCTTGTTTCCAATTGACCATTGTAAACTGTGAGGAAGGTTTGATCGTGAAAATTGTTTCTCAAAACTAAATTGTACATTGATAATCCAGCTTCTTTCGAGAGCCACTACATTCATGAGACCTTGTGAGCTATTACCAATATTATTGTTCTCGTAAGAATGAATTCCCAATGACCCTGTTGAGAGTAATTGAGCAATATATATATAAGGTAAGTTGCTGTTATTTTTAAATCTGAGATCACAAAATGTTCAAATGGATTTTTGACTTTAACTCGTTAGGTGAAATATTGTAACATATAATGGTAAGATTCAAAGTTGGCTGACGTCGTAATGTGTACGAGAGAGAAGCGCGATAAGCGTGCGATATACAGGTATATAAGGATCATGCGGATGCAGGTATATAACAAATAGAACATTAATGGCCAAATTCCGCAAAAAGTAGGAAAGTGAATTCGAGCAGAAAATAGGATAGGTAACCCGAGCGTGTGTGTCATTTTCTTTCCCTCTCCATCTTCGTTTTCTCAGGATACATCCGTATCCGGTTGTATGGGCATGTGTATCTACTTTTGTAACCAACAACCAGAAATACGTATCGCTTGGGTTACCTATCCTATTTTCTGCTCGAGTTCACTTTCCCACTTTTTGCGGAATTTGCCCATTGATTTTCTATTTCTTATTATATATGTTAGAAAGAGATATAAGCACATCGTTGCCTAGCAACGCCGGTACGAGGTCCCGGAAACCATCGCGTACTCTTTCTAACATACATATGTCACGCTTATCGCGCTCTCTCTCTCTCGCACGTCGTCAGTGGTATTTGGTTTTCAGTGTATAGTAAGGTGGGGTCGTATACATCTCACAATATTTTTTAATAATTTATGTACTTTGACTTATAAACAGACCCACGGATTCCACTTTATAGTTTTGGTAATGAATTTTTTAGGCGACCCAAGCAGTACGGAAAAGTAACAAAAATAAAAACTTTTATTCGTAAATTGAAGTAACTTTTCGGAAACTGACGAAGTACGTGCTGGCACTGATTAGCGTGTAATCCTTGTAGAATGCTTAACTTTGACAGCCCGTTAGTTCGCCATTTTGAGAGAGAGAGAGCGAGAGAGAGAGAGAGAGCGAGAGAGAGAGAGAGAGAGAGAGAGAGATCCAAGGATTATAAAGTATTTAAAATTAGATTCAAAATGAGATATCACATTCCATTAAAAATACTTCAAAATGGCGCCCCTCAATCTTGCATTTTTTATCTGCGCTAAAATATAGTATTAATGCATAATTTCATCATTCTGAATTTCAGATTTGCTAAATTAATCCTATCACAGTTTATATAAATGGAGAAGTAATTGAAAATGTTGAATCAATTAAATATTTAGGTATATATATATATATATATATTGATAGTAAACTAAAGTTTGAGGATCACTATGAATACATTATTTCAAAAATTGCAAAAATTACTTTTGTAGGGCTTCTCATAGTATTGGTACCGAGAAACTAGTTTATAATACAATTATTTTACTGCATTTACTATATTGTTCAACTATCTTGTTCACTGCCAATGAAGTTGTATTCTCAAAATTACAAATCTTGCAAAATAAAGCTATGAGAATAATATTGAATAGAAATCAGTACACCAAAATAACATCTATGTTACAAGAATTGCAGTGGTTGAATATAAAAAATTTCATATCATATTTGGTTCTTATTTTTATATTTAAAATAAAAAATCATCTTTTGCCAGAATATTTAGAACACTACATAGAATTGAATAATCATCACCACAATTATTATACAAGAGGAAATAGATTTACAAAATTGCAATAGTACGAGTAATATAACTAGCAAATCAATATTTCAGAAAGGATTACTTGAATTTAATAAACTAAATAATGATATAAAGTCTACTTGTAATTTAAAGATATTTAAAAGAAAATTAAAAGAATATTTCATGGACAATGAATATTCTTAGAAATGCAAATTTTGTTTTTTTTTCTGAATATCTGTATGTTCTGTAATTGTTTAGTTTTTTAGAGGAATGTAATTGTAGCAATCATACTAAATAAATCTTAAACAAAAAAAAATAAGCTTCGCTAACTCAACCCGTTCCAAAAATAAGTAGTTTTTTGCATAGAAGTGCTGAGTGCTGCAGATCGGAGTTTTGCAAATAAGATATACATAGGCGGTTTTTTTTCTGTAGGCAGCATCTTTAATTTCCGTATACTATGTTCCTTTAATTTATCCTGACAACGAACTTAAAGGAAAAACAAGATGATACCTGTAAAAAAACTAGCGTTTTTATTGAAGTTGTTCCACCAATTGGAATAAAACGATTGATAAAACCGACCTCTTACATGTTAGAGTGAAGTGTGAGACCTACAGGATTGAGAAATTTCAGTTATCTGCTTGACATCGAGGTCACTTATTAAACAATTGCCAAATCCTGCGTTTTGGCGAGTTTTTTTGGTGATAACCTTTTCTGTTTTAATCGGATCTTCTTTCATGTAGTCTCATTTTGTAGGTCGCCTGAGGGCCTAAACATTCTATTTGACGATTTTTTTCGTTCATGCAAACATATCCGATTTAACCACAAAAAACGCATTATTTCATTCCCATTTTGTTGAATAAAACGTTTTCCTACAAAAATAGGTGCACCCTTTAACCAGAGCTATACCGAATCATATTTTCTAAACCGGTATTTTTAGTAACATATTTGTATATTTAAGCAATATTATAAAATTATTTCTTCAATCTTGTTTTAGTTACCACAACAAATCACGCCTAAGACAAGGTCAAACCTTTTGTTCAAACAAAATTAAACATTTCTGGTAACAAACAATTTTTCTATCAACTTTAACGGAAAACATATCATTTCCAGTTCTGATCAACTATTATAAAAATTAAAATGAGCTGTAGCAGAGCCTAAAACTAACGTTAAACAAAACAATAACAATGGAAACCTAAACTGTAGTTGGAATATTTTTCTTGGCCACTATACTATGGCTATATCTGTCAGGCTAGGTAAAGTAAATTTTATTTACCGAAAATAACGATAATACTGTAAAATGAATATGAAAGCGAGCACAGTTTAGAATGGTAAACACACAGGAAACCCACAGAAGCAAGCTGGTGCGTGGGATTCTACAAATTACAAAAAAATTAATCAGGTATGGATATTATAGATATCGATATACCGCATTTATTAAAATTGCCAGTCCGTTACCAATTTTAGTAAAATAACAGTCACAGTATTCTAAAATAAAATAGCTCACTTAATTAACGAAAATCCGACAAAAATATGTTCACAATGTTGGTCATAATATCGGTAAGGTAATCTATAATCCTTTTAGGAGGTTTTTCTCAATGTTTGCGTTCAGGCTTAGGCTTTTTGCCAGCTGCAAATTGGAAAATAATAGTTTTCGATTTTCATCGTTTGACGGAATGTAGGCTCATTAGGTATATACAGACCACTTCCTTTTAACTTTTTCACGTTTGGAGATATATCGAGTTTGAGTTGGTAAGATATTATTTACTCTATAGAAATCTCGATCAGTGCATGGAACATGCTTTTTGGATGTCGTTCGATCTGAAACAATCTTTGAGACCATAAATCATGACATTGAATTTTCGGAGCCTTCGGTAGACAACGTCAAGTTTATTTCTTAGTTCTTTGTTTTTCTCTCTAAGGTCTTTATTCTCCTGATTCAATTTTGAGAGTTCTACATTAAAATCTTTTCGCAGCTCACGAATTTCTTGGGTTATGGCCGTTTGTTACATCACCCTCTGGGGTACTCATTGCAAACAAAAAGAAAAATGCTATTCTATTTTCGTTTTGGCTAGAAAATCCACAGTAATGGTGATTAATAATTTTGTGAGATTTTTGATCTAAATTTCCCCAGCCCTTCCAGTTTTACCATTCGCCTTTCACACATTGAATTATCACACACTTATACACATTTATACAAAATTATACAATTCTCCTCACTTTTAGTTTGGTAATTCGATCAACTCCCACTACCCCATTAGATTCATTTAGTCTTTTTGAGGTAATAAGATCGCGAAACTAACAAAGTATCTAAGCTTTTATTGTCGCTCAATCTTAATCGCAATTGATTACATATATAATAATAATGATCCGGCTTTATTTATCCAAAGTATAAAAAGGCGAAGTGTCGCTAAAAAGCGTTTTTCAACTAAAGCCAAATATTGCATATGTGATTTCAATACGCGTATTTTTGAGACCTTTATTTGGAGCGGTCTCCAGGAATTCTTAAAATCCGGGATCCCGGTTTGCGACCCCCTAAAACCCATCCAATTCACCCAATTTATAAATACACATTTCATTTATGGAACTGCGCAAATCATTGGTCAGTTCTGGTGTTATAGACCATATCTCCGGTATAGAGGATAGTTGCAATGCTTTCGTTTGTTCGTCCAGATCCAAGAGACCAAGCCTAGACTATGCTGATGAGTATCCTAGGAGCAAGCAATATCTGTCCATGGTTGGCTGTCTTTTTGGTCCAATGGACGAAATTCCCTTTCAAGTCTTCAAAAAGCTTTCTAGGGTAGTATATTTTAACATTGTTACCGCGCTATTGGCCACGAACGAGTCTTTAACGTATTCTTCGGGTTCTTATAGTGGAAGGTCTGAACTTCAATTCATTTATTTGGCGACCTTAAAAATAGTAATTTGTACAGAGTTTAGCTTTAAAACGGTTAACTTTAGAAAAGTTACTAAGAATCTTTTTTGTTTAGAGTGACAACAGAAAACTTTGGAGCGAGGGAAGCATTTTTTTGTAATTTGTTCAAACAACTTTGCACCGCGCTCCCGCATGACAACCTCTTGAATCACGTTAAGGGTCTTCCAACAAACGTGATTGTGAATAAAAAATCGGGTTGGAAAATTTCTTCCACCTTGTCTAATGGATAGAATTTTTGTACCTTAGAAAACTTTTTTGGATGTGCTATGATGTCTTGATTACAAAAATTCCCATGGCGTTGTCTTACGAAGGGCGACATCGTGGATGCAATGTTAAATGTTTGTGTCAACTATGTGTTGATGATCTAAGCTTGTCAGTTGAGGCCATGTCTGGTCTTCTAGAAACTGTACCTGTATGTTTGCCACACTGACTTGAAAGATGTATTGCACAAAACCTAAATGTTCTTTAACTATCAAAATAATACAGGCAAGAAATGTTTTTCAAATGTGGTGTATTTCAGGGTACATTGTTAGACCCCATTTTATTTGTGTTTGAAAATTACTTAAATATTCAAAATTATCTGGATAGGTAAAATAGTTTTGCTGATGATACGGCAATATAGTTGAGAAAGACTTTTATAAAATCATACGTTTTTTCAACAATAGAAAGTTAAACGTGAACTTTGGAAAAACGCATTTTCTGCCCTTCACATCATACGCAAGATTTCTACCCGATTATTCAAATCTTTCCTTCAAAATAAACAATACAAATTTAAATTAAAAATTACAAATTAATTGACTGACTGGATAATAATAATTATTTAGAAATTTTTTAGGCCGACATTTGAGGTGGGACATTCATGCAGCCTAATTTTGAAAAAAATAAGATTTGTTACATACAAAATTAAGTTCATCACAGCCATATGGACAGAAAATTATAATCGTAATAATGCCTTAATTGAGCCGCACCTAATGCATGGCATCTTAGCGTGGGGTACAGCATGTCCACCGTATTTGAAGGATATAGATGTTTTATAGAGAACTGTTTTAAAAACAATGCTAAAAAACAGCAACAAAATTGTAGCCAACAAAATAGCTCAGCTAGTTTGAACAGCTGATATATGGTAGTCACACGCACTTTATGAAAACTTCCAACTTGCAATGTGGTACATCGTACCAAGCACAACAAAGGTTGTGTCTTTTGCTGTTTTATCAAATAATTGGATGTTTCAGCAGCTTACTCGTTTGAAGCTAACAATGAAATTATAATTCATTTTATCTCAGCGTAATGTAAGTATAGTTCAATCTTCATTTTTTCCATATGTAGGTATATTATAAGTGCTCACTTTTGTGAAAAGACATTATCGTCCAGGATAACAACCATACATATACAGTCTGATACAATGAGTGTTACAGAGCTGAGTCATATTGTAAAATGTAAATGGTATGGCCGGCTTAGTGTTACCCGATGAGGATACCTTTGGTGTTACCGGTCCGAATGAGTGACTTGGCATATCAATATATCTATATTATAAAATTAACGATTTTATTATAGGGGCCGCTCAAGTATTACGTAAGCAGATTTATTACAATTATTTACCCCCTCATCCCCCTTGTCAGCAAAAGTAAGCAAAACACTTACCCCCTCCCCCCATGCTTACGTAAACAGTTGTCAATTAATGTATTGTTTTTTAACATTATAACTATAACGTTATAATTATAATTTGAAGAATAAGAAAATAGATTTAGGATAGAGATTATATTTTACTGATACGGTATTCAACATAGCGTAAAGGACAAAAATATTATATCTTGCTAACATAACAAACTTATTTTAAATTTTTGGTACATATATTAAATTCAAATTAACAGTCCATGAAACCAGAATCCATAATTCTAAGTTTTCGATGACAATGGATTGTTTCGAGTGCTGCTCAGTGTTGTGAGTTGCTCGCTTTCATCGGATTTTGGAATGTCTACGTCGCTCTTATCGAGCCATTCAACATCATGGTGCTCTAAATTTTGAATAATGCACATCAGTTCACTAGCACGACGAGCAGCGACTCTTACAGGTCTACTTTCCTATCAGTGTGCGTGTGTACTTTTTATGGATATCTTCGATGTGACGATTTAGTGACCTGCGGAAGCATGATAAAGACCACAGGTTTTGCTGTTCGGCTTGATAAGCCTCAATTTACCGTCGGACAAAATAATCGTAGGGCATTTGCAGGAAATCTTCGAGTGAAGCACTTAAGCGTAGAGCTAAATTGACTGGAAGATTAAGAAATGCCCTCCTTCATCCAAATCCAAGTCATCAACTGTTTGTTTTACTTTTACAGGTGGTGAAGAAACCTATGTCTGGTAATCTAAATAGGCCACTTCTTGGACGACAGCATTCTGTATTTCTACATTTTACAATTTGAAACAAGTATTGGCTCTCACGCACATGTTCTGAATACATTTTAATGTCAGGAAAATCAGAAGATCTTGCTCGCCTGCCCCAACATATTTTGCATTATAGCCATCAATTTCCATCGAAATTAGATCTTTCTAAATGTTCATCAATTGTAACGCCACGTTCATCCAAATGAGTCCCAAAATGGTCATGAGGTAATATTAAACCAGCCAGTTCCCGACTAAGAGGAGCCATTCTGCGCTCTACGCTGTTATACGCACTTCTTCCAGGAGCATTGGTAGCTAAAAACAATGCATCGAGATCATGTCGCTTAAAGTGTTGTATAGCAAACCCTATGACTTTTTGATAACGTGGATTTTCATCTGGCCCTCCATCAACCGTCACAATTACCACTGGTTCTACTAGTCCATGGTCAGTTTTAGCTAATGGTCGAAACTCTTCAAGTTCGAGAAGCGTCTCGAAATCCTGAGCATGAGTATTAGCAGTAGATGAACTATGCTTTCCACTTCGAATAGCGATGTATGTTGTTCCAGAATATCCAACGGCTTGCGGTTGTCCTAGCATATTGGAAGTGATTTTGATACCAGCATCGTATTAATTTATGACGCTCAGCGATTACCCAATCGTGATCAGGCAATTTGATTCTATATTTCATGTGCATTAGAAGAGGTGCTTGCTTATTTGCCGCAGTTACGCCAATAGGGAATCGAGCTTTATCATCTTGAGATATGAAAAATGCTTGATCTGGTCCAAGTATGGATGCTATGTTCTCTAAATAATGGATTGATGTTTCAGCGAACTTGCTATCTAAGTGGCTCTTGTGGTGATCAGTTTGAGCCCGAATGAGCTTAACAGGGACTGTCGATACATGTCTTTGTCCCTCTGCAGAATTAGATTTTCTGGGAATCAAACGAAGATATGTCCCACTGCGACTAATGTCATATCCTATTTTACGTAATTCTTGTGTGAGTTCATCAAGAGTTTTTACGCTGTGAATTGATTCCGTTCGTCTTCTATCATCTGCTGCACTCCCAAATAAAGTTATATCCGCGATTGTTTTCAATAGTGAATGTTGATTGCTTTCAAGATTAGGACATCCCACTGAATCCCTCAGCGATAGTCTTTTTTTATTTCTGTATTTTCATGACAAATATCTTCTAACTTTCTTTTCATACCATCCCTGTGTTTATTCTGGGCAACTGCGTTTTGAACCTTCCTGTTTAAAGACTGTTTTGTTTTTATTTCCTAGCGCAACTTAATGATCTGAGCAATCTTATTTTTCATAGCTTCCTGATCAGGTTTTGCGCTCTGTTTATCTGTATTTTCATTAATTTCGCATTGCTGTTGTGATTCATTACCGGGTTTTATTTTATCTTCTTCCTCTTTTTTAATATTTGAAGCTGACTGTATAATTTGTGTTTTTTCTGCAGGTTTACAGGTTGCCTAAAAATAAAAACTTTCTATGACTTCTGCTAAAGATTCTCTTATTGAACTACATAAATACAAAGTATGGCAATATATATGGTAAATACAAAACCTTATGGCTTTAAATCTAATATGTTTAAACGAGCAATTCGATCCGGTCACAAAATACAGGGTGTTAGTTTTCTGTATATATGTATGAAACTAACATCCTGTACTTTGTGACCAATTGACGGAATCATTCATAAGAAATAAATCTATAATATAATGAATATTACCTCTATACTTTGAGATAGGCCATAATATTTTCTAATCAGTAAAGAGAAACTTTTTGGCCATTTATAATATTTCTAGTACTCATAGGTACCTAAAATGAGTTCGTCACTCACCTTAGAAAAAAAATTTAGTAGATTGGATTTATTCTTAGTCGCCGCTTGCAATTCTTCTTCGATTCTCTTAGATACAATAATATCTAGTTCCTTGTCGGATTTTGCTTGTAATTTGTAATTTCGCCACACTTCGTTAACTAACTTTTGTACATTTTGTATTTTCGTACTTGTATGAGATTTTTTAAAACTTTCAAACAGTTTTTGGTATAACTTGGATTTGTCTATGTGAAACGACATCTTATTTAAACATTAAACTTTGGCTAATGGAATCAATGGTATCCCAAATGTTAACTTGTTTTACTATGCTTAAAATACGTCTACTCGCTATAGTATCCAAACGAAACAATACACTGATAGAGGAAATTTAGACAAGTGAACACCGCGCGGTAATTCCTCTACTCGGTTCTAAAGCGAGTAGGGGAATTACCGCGTGCTGTTCACTAAACGTACATACATTATTTGCGTGAATCCCCGAAAATGCGTTTCGTTTTCAAGCAAAGACAATGTGAGCGTTGCCATTCGTGTAAAAAAGTAAATAACTACCGATGACGTAATCCTCATCTAGACTCCCCTACCTCCCATGTCATCCAAAATAAGCAAAGCAAAGACCCCTTAGTGCTAACGTAATACTTGAACGGCGCCATAAAAAGGCAAACCTGACCGCAAAGGGTTCATTTAGACAGTAATAATTTATAAGGATCCAAGAGTGGCGGTATGACCGTAGCAAAGTGATAAGCTGAGTATGTATTTAAAATACTTATTATCATAACCACCTACAAACTCCGACGTATAAAGGATTAGTAATTTAGCGAATATGTTTACAAATTGTGTAAACAGACGAAGGCGCCGATGTAGATCGGGAGAATTTTGCTCTCCTAAAAATAGTTGAAGTTTGCTTTTCGAACGAACGAGATTGAACAGGTATACACCTTCGAAAGTATATAACATGACAAAGTTTATGCTGATATTTGTCTTAATGCACTTGACCTCGGGGTCTGCGTATAGGTTTGTCTGTGTTGATGAGAAAAATAATATTAAAAGGAAGGAGTTGTGTGATGAAGGTGGACTGCTTAAGTACACAAACAATGTGATTGATATTCCTGCTGGTGGACCAAAATTCCCATGTAAGTATTTGATGGATTTAATATAACTAATGCAAAACAACTGAAAATAATCCTTTGATGTTTCGACATAACTCAGGCAGTTATGTCGTATGTGGTAGTGGTTTTTCTAAAAAGTTTCATCTGTTGTAGATGTAGGAAGACCTTTAGGAATAAATACCATCACAAATGTGATTGATTTATCAAAAGGTAGACGAAAAAGACCAAAGTATCCAAATAAAATATCACAGCCTGCAGGATTACCTCGTAAGTTTGAAATATTCTTGATATATCGTACTATAGTGGATGTCCTAGAACTTGCAACAAATCAGTTAAATTCATACGTTACTGTGTATTGCTTTTGCTTGAATAACTCCTGTTCCATACTGTATACTTTATAGAACTTTTTTCAAATGCATATAAGCCAGTCAGAGTTTCAAATGAAATAATTATCTTCCGATTGTCAGGACGATCTAGTTTGACGAAATACTGCTAATTTTTTATTCCCTCTGTAAGGGAATGTAATGTAATTGCTTGGCATGAGCAGTTTTTGAGGAAAATAGCCTTGTTTCAGTACTGTTTTATCAATCATGGTGCTGGTTAGGGTTACGTCTTTTGTGAGTGGATAATCATGATCCTCCACTGTGACGATACCGGGTGTTTTCAAAGTTGATTCATTTATTTTAACTGCTTGTAGGAGTCGTCAAAAGGAGCTGATATACCAAAAATCACCGATATAAAAGTGGCACAATAAAGGAAATAGTAAAAAATTACAAATTTAAAAAATAAGAATTTTATTACACAGATTTTTTTGATATTCTCTACCACTGCGGTCAAAAAATCTTTTTTTTTTGTTTACTACTCTTACCGTTTATTTAAATTTGGCACATTTTTTGTGTTATTGGATGGTTTTCAGTATGAGTCTTTGGTTCGATCAGTTGTATCAGTCTTTTAATAGCGCGTATACTTTCATTTGTCTGATTATTTTGTACGAAAACAATGAATTAGTGGACATAATACTAACATTCGGAGAGTGCCAACAAAATGCAGCCGCAGCATTCAGGTTGTATGCGGAAAGGTTTCCTTTAAGAAATCTTTCGGTACCACGGATGTTTGTAAATTTAGTTATTAGACTTCGTGACGCAAGATATTCAAAAGAACAACGAGGAGGTCACGCTGGAAGACCTGCTCAACCTGTAGCAGCTCAAGTTGAAGTAAAGTGTGGAAGACAATACGACAAGAACATTACGAGCGTTACAACCTGAAGATCATCCTAGACTGGTTGCATTTTGCCAGTGGCTTTTAGAACAGTTCGGCAGACATGATTTTACGAAATTAATTTTGTGTACAGACGAGGCCACATTTGCACGAAATGGAGTGCACAACTCCACAAAATCATGTTTGGGCAGTAGAAAATCCGCATACTGTAAAAAGAACTCATTTTCAACATAGATTTTCATTAAATGTTTGGGCTAGCGTTGTAAATGGCATGATTATTGGACCCTACTTTTTTCCACCTCGACTGACTGGTGAAATGTATTTAGATTTTCTTCGACACAATCTGCCACAATTATTAGAATATGTTCTTCTTAATGTGAGACAGAATATGTGGTTCCTACATGATGGGACTCCACCACATTTTAGACGAGAAGTTCATGAACATCTAAATAATGAGTTTCCGAATAGATGTATATGGCGCAATGGACCCGTTTCTTGACCTGCTCGCTACCCGGATTTGATGCCTTGCAATTTTTTTCTGGGTGGCTATTTGAAAGAGTTGATGTATCATGATGGAGCAGTAAATACTCTTGAAGAACTTCAACAGCGCACTGAAAATGCTTGTGATTTAATTCGCGGACACCAGGATCTTAGTTTGGAAGCCTGTAAAGACTCACATTTTAACAGTTTCTGTATCCAGTTAACTTAACAATGATTTTATAATAATTATTAATAATGTAAACTAACTCTCTTATTATGCAACTTTTATATAGGTGATTTTAAAATGACTAAACTTTGTGGCTTACACATATTTATATTTCCCCGGTAGCTGCTACCTCCTAGGGAGGTCGATCATTCTATTTGGGGAAATATCTAGTTGGAGCACTACTCTTACAAGTATCAGGTGACTGATTATAGAGTATCTGCATAAAACGTGCTTAACCGTTTCATCTCCCATGATGCACAGTCTGCACTCGGCGTCTCCCGTCATGTCCAGCCTGCTTAGGTGGTGACGACAGTCCCTCTAAAGCCTGAAGACTGGTGTTACTTAGCCATAGCAGTGAATCTCTTACCATTTTTTTTAAGATTCGTATGGTTTCGATAGCATGGATCAACCCTGACAATCCCTCTCAGCGTTGAAGTATCTTGCCTTCCATCTATACAGAGATTATTTTTTTGCGATCCTGATTGCTGCCTCAGGCCATATGAAGGGTGCGCCAGCCCCACTCTTTGCCAATATGTTAACTGCTTCGTTTCTCTCAGACCTGTTTCCTGGTATCCATATGAGACAGACCTTTCCATCATCTATGCAACCAAGAGCTTTGAAACTAATTTCGATGTAGAGTTAAAGCTCTGCTTGACACCGTTCTACAGCATGTAGCTCTGCCTGGAAAATCAATGACCAGAGGTTCCTAGGCTGGCGGATTCCTGAATCTTTAGCTCCGGCACGAATCAATACCATCTCCAATACCTCTTGGAGCCGTCTGTATACGCATACATATATACCTATATTATGTAAGTTTGCTGTCCTCATTCATTCCTATGAGGAACTATCACTGAGTAGAGCTTAGCATATCTTGGTATCCTTAGCATTATTTGAGAAGATATTCCCGGACTATGGTGATTCTTTATGTCTACCAACTTTTCCGTTTCCTCCATAGTTCCGTTTTATTGTCCATTATACCTTTTGCCACACGATGTAGCTTGTTGGTTGTCCTCGAGTCGCCTCCCAGGTATATGTACAAAGGACATAAGTTAAGAAGAACCACCATACCTGCAGTTGGTGTGGTGCGAAAAGGTTCAGTAATCAACATCAAACCATTTCTCTGCAGTTCGCTTAGTTTAACTTTGACAGTTCGTTGTGCTGCCTTGCCCCACCAAGCTACAGATCCATAGGTTAGAACTTTTTTTGCTCAGGCTTCATTCCACAATTCTTTCCATAGACGTTTCGGCAATTCGATAATGAGGTCCTTGCCTTCTTACGAACTGCTTCTACATGTGAATTCTAGCTTAGCATTCTGATTACTCCTACATCCGAAAAATTAACCACTATATTTCACTGAATGTTATTTTGCTGACAATTACATTCACGACGCATACGACCGCCTGCAAATAACCCCACCATGCCATGGCGTATGCGACCGCTTCAAAATTCATGTATGCTGTGCCAGCGGTCGTTGATAGGCACATAATTATTATGACAGAAGACCGCTGTGGCATATACGCTTATCTTAAGTTAGCGGTCTTCGGTATAGCTTACAAGGGAACGTGAACATAATAATGACTTAGAATAACATCTGTCGCAAAAAGCTTCACTTTTTTCAAGTTGGCACCAGAGACATTTACTACCATTTTTTATGGAAGTCAACTTGTTAATCATCTAGAATAGCAATTTCCAGATACGGGTCTAAGTCCGTTTTTTTCTTTTGATACTGTAGTAAACTCGATAAACATAAATTAGTTTACGCTAGTGCCTTTTTCGGTCTAACAGCAGTCAGTTAGAAAATTTCTTTGAATGACATTAAGTGCTATTTTTATGAAAAACATCCATTTCCAAAATTAACTCTGAACGTATATAAAAATTTTTAACATTTTCTACGTAGTGCATTTCTCAGATCTGGCATGATTCGATTAACAGCATAAATCATTTCTCTTACCAATCTACCAGGATTGGATGATGAACAAATAAACAATGTCTGCGTTGTACTAAGCGTCGGTGTAGGCTTGTTCAGATCAAAGATGTTAATACATGTGTTATTAAATTTTGCGGGTCAATAAATAGTATATTAGAAATAGGTTTTAGAGACCTTTTCGTGTCTGCACCATTTGACATTACAACATTGCACAATACATTATGGTGATACATATTTCATATAGGGCGATTCTATTCATACTTTTAGCATTCACCATACAGTGGTCGCTTTCTAGCTATACAGTGGAAAAATATATAGCTCAAAGCCATGTCCTGTATATCTTGTGTAAAAGAAGTTTCGCAGACGATTATGATACAAGGCTGGTCGCATCGATGTTTGTTATAACAGATTTCATGACAAATTCGCACACTTTCGCGACATAAGTTCGAAATAACTTCAAGAACAGCAAAATTTTGTTTGTCAAACAACCTCTTATCGCAGAAGGTATTACGTAACTTGAAAAGTGACAGTGTGTATTTTTTTATTTGACTTTATGTAGGTTTCTCACGATATTATGTAGGTTTTCCTACAAGATGACAGCAAGGAACTAGCTGTCGTTCACAACAAGTTGACATGTTATCGTTTTTTTGACATTATATAGGGTTTTGTAATAATCCCGCGGGCGCATATTACATATAGTAGTCGTAGTGTACATGTGTCTTCAGTATCTCAAAAATTTTGCACAATTATACTGTGATCTATACTTTTGGGAAAGATCACCTTATGTAACCCTTGCATCAATGAAAAATAATGGATGTTCCGCAAATATAGTATACAAATAGAATTGAACGGAATGAATAAATATTTTTATTATACTTTATTTCAGCTATCACTTTGAGAGGTCCGGATGATGAATTTGATTCAGGTATTTATTTGACGTTTTAATGTTTCGTCTATATTTTGACAGATTAAGTTCCAATCTTGATGTTTTTATTAGAATAGCAGTTAAATCTGCCAAATACTTTTTTGTACTACGAGCAGTAATATATATTTTTTGATGAACTCGACAGAATGGATTAGATTGGATTAACCTAAAATATCTAATATGTAATTGTTTTTTACAGGTTTTCCCATTTATCCGAAATATAAGGTGGATAAAATCGACCAAGGTAATAAATGTTAAAAGAAATCAGTAGATTTATGAGTGTTTTTATATTAAATTCGCCGATGTTGTGGTTGTTGCCAGAAATACTCTTGTAGGGCTTTACACATCTTTTGTTCATTCCTATGAGTAATCGACACACTTCTTTGGGTGAGAAGAAAGTGATACTTTTACTAGACAATTGGAGGTATGATAAAAGGGGCTCTTTAGCCCCGTGTGTTACAATGTTCGCCGCTAGGGCTGCGACTCGAAGGCTCGCGGTTCGAATCCCGGCATCGGAAGTAATATTTCCAGTCATGGATGTTGTATTTGTCTGTATATGTACGCACCAAATCGGTTTAAGATCAAATAACTACATCACATCGCTGAAGCTAGTTTATCCAGCAATCAGTTACTAGTAGATAACCACGTATAGTAGTATACAGTTTGGGAGGCAACGGGGTCGCCAAAAAGGGTCAAATTTGGCGTAGTTGCTACATAACTATGATAAAATTCGATCTTTGACTGTAGCAGACATATTGATCATTAGGAATACCGGAAGATGTTATGTTGTTTTTTATATCACTTTCCGCTCACTCATAGTCTTACAATTAAAAAATGCTATAACATCGAGAATGAAATAATAAAGGAAAGCGTTGAATTATGTAAATCTTAGCAACAGTAAATACGAAAACGAATATGTATTTTGATATGTTATAACATTTGTACTTATATCAGAATAAGTCGCTCTTTAAGTTTCAGATAAAAAATGCACAAGAAGCAAAATAAAATTTTTCTCATTGGAAAAGAGACAGGCTACCTGCAAGCCCAGAGACGCTATATTTGAATTGGTAGATGGTGAAAACATGGTAATTATTGCGTTGTTATAGCAACTCAAGCAATCGAAGATATTGGTCATAACAAGAAGTGTAGCGGAATGTAACAATTCATGGCTTTCTGCATTTTATTTCAATATATGTATACCGAAATAACTTATAAAGGTCTTTGCTCATTACGTTAAGTTCATGACACAGTCCGCGCATGATACGCTAACAACTCTTATGAGGGTATTCTCAATATAGGGCTTTCTTTCACCCGGAGATCTTAACAAAAATAAGTGGTTTTTCCTAGTAGCTGGACATCGCAGCCTTAATTCGGCGACTGACTGAATCCGAGCGCTGTAATGTAATGCTCCCATCGAGCGTTATATTACAAAGTCCGTGATTTGAGTCCAGCGAATGTTCACTTGGAATGCTCGGCTCAACAGTGCTCCACATTTTTCTACTGCAGTCTGTGTCGAAATGTCAGACCCATAAGTAGCTAGTATTGCGTTCAAAATCGAAAAAATCTACATGTGATGATCTTCTAGTTCCCATTACTATAAACTTAAATTTTTTCTCTATTTTATTTTTATTATGCAATTCTGAATAATGTTGCTGTAAAGTGTTGCCTAAAATGTAACGCCCAAAAAAGTCTTCAACAGCATCGCTTTTCTCAATTTTGTTGTATGTACTGAAAAAAAACATGTACTATGCTAGTTTGTCAAAAAAATTTAAAAGTTGGCACATTTAATAAGGACACTTGCTAGATGATTTCTTGAATTATGGACAATTTTAATGTTTGTAAAGAATCTGTAGGTTTTAAAATTAATTGAGGTACCATTTAATTCATTTTCACTGTTTTTTCTATCTTTTCATTACTGTCATGGTGCTATAAGGTTTATTACATTATCCGGATAGTCTTTAAAGTGGATTATGCCAATCATGTCTAATCCTGACCGTTTATTTCGACCATCCACAAGTCAAACCAAAACTGAACGTCAAAATCTTGGACAGAGGACTCCTTCGAAATTAGCGGTCAGGATGAACACAGGATTGGGATAACCTACTTTGAAGTCTATCCGGATAGAGCCGTAGAAATAAACATGGTAATTATATAAGTATGTTTAGGGATATAGGTCCTTCGTCATTATCCAGTAAATATACAAATTACATTTATTAACTAATCGCTCACACTATCAGTATAATCTGAAGATTCTGAATCGTTTCCTAAGTTAATAATCACTGGTTCAAGTACTCTTTTCATACATTGGTCAGTTGTCCACATTGGAAAATAAGTTTTAAAAATCAAAATGTGTGCGATAGAAGTAGCTATCATATTAGTGGGTGAGATATTTAACAGAAAATAACTATTATTTGAAACAAAGGCTACACGTTCTGTATGAGTTTCATTTGGCTAGCGCTCCCGAGAAGCTATATAAATATTTATAATAGTTTCTTTTTCAGAAACCGACAAAGCTTTTTTCGACCGTTTTTTTGGTAATTGACCTTCGTCAAATAAGGCACTCATGTCGAAATACCCTTTTAAAAGTTGTCTCACAAAAATAAACGAAACACAAAAAATAAATTAAACGGCACGTCATAGACCTTCGGAAAGAACGAAAGTGCTATTGTGAACTTGGCGGCTTATCTACCGAAAACGAACCAATACGAACGAGGCGCGTGCCGGTCAGATGATTTATTACTCTGTAGGTTCGTTGGATAAATTATAGCGAATTTTTGTGTTATATTCCATTAGATTATAGCGCTCTGCTTCAGTCAGTCGCCGCCTTTAAGATAACTGAGTAAATAGAAATTTGTATATATATATATATATATATATATATATATATGAGCAGTAGTAATTGCCAAAGCCAACGACCAGTTGGGCACAAAATACTGCATTCCGATTGTTTCCCTAAAATGTCTTCCCATGTTTAATAATTTTTAATATGTTCGGGTCTATTGATATTTTTAACATGTAACGGAGGTATCTGTCGTTATCAACAAGCCCAATGTCTCCGTCCTTTTGTTTTTATATTTATAACAAGTTCTATCTTCTCTACGTTCGTTCTGAAACACCTTGTGGCTGCAACCTCAACGACGAAATCCCGATGAAGGCTCCATAGAGAATGCCGAAAGCTTGATTTTATCGTCAAAAGAGTCAAATTAAGCCTAAAAATTTGCCAATTTCCCAATTAACAATTAATTATATTTTGTATATATACTTTGAAGTTGAGTCATTAATTTTCAGATAATGATTGTAGAAGGAAGATAAACCAAAATATGTGTGTAAAAATAAAAAAAAAAAATAAAAAAAAATGTTACCTTGTTTTATAAAGTATCCTACCGACAAGTATTTCAGTGCGGACCTGTATTAAATCCTGCGGTCTTGGAACACCGGCATGCCCTCCCCTGTGAGGTCTTAAGTCACCTGATTCACGAGGCCTTTGTACTACATTAACAAAGGCACGAGGGGTTGGTTGCACTCGATTGGGAAATCGATCCGCATAAATTCGTGATGCCGCGACAGCATTTTGTAAATAAGAATCATGTCCACAAGTTCAGCATTTTCGTAAACATGTGCCATTTTTTATTTCGTTTGAGCCACGCAACAAACACCACTATTCACTCACACGTTACCGACTGACACATTGACTGAATACAACTGAATAAGCGTTTCAAATTCTTTCGCTTTTTTGTGTCCGATGCGATGAAACGATAAGGCGGATTATATCCGTTGTTGCCAAACACGAGCACATAATATTATTATTGAGACAGGGCGGTACTCAAACTTCTAAAGGGCTATAATTTTGTTACTTTAATTTTACCAGAAAAATGTTAAAGGAAAAAAACATTTCTTTTGATCAGATCTACTCACTGTTAAAATAAATGACTCAACTTCGAAGTCACCCTATATATATATCAAACCTAAAACAAATTTAATCCGATCCTGTATTTCGATCAGATGAAAACTGAAGAGGCGCGATTTTCGTCAGTATACTCAACCCAACCCAACAGAATGTATTTACCAAACCGTTCGAAAAAAAAAATATAACACACTCACACAGCAATATGGAACTTGACATGGTTTTAATTTACGGTGTCTTCAAAATGCTACTGAGGCTTCGTGAGTGTACGCAGATCGGTTTCCCAGACGTTATCATTCATGGCCACGTAGATTTGTTTACTTTGTGCAAAGAGCTAGGAATACAGGCCGTTTGCAGGAATGACGAGGTGGACACAGTCATCCCTGAATGTTGCAAACTGAGAAAAACATATTAATCCTCCGACAGGCACTAGGCAAGTGGTTAGATAAGTGCAATTTTTCAAGACCCGCTACGTGATGATGGATTGTACATTGTACCCTTTTTATGTACAATCTGTATAAGCCCTCCAAGCTGATGATTTTCCTGCAAGAGTGCATTTTGTGACTGGTTCCACCAACATGAAAATAATCCGGGGTCTTCGAAGTCCATTTTAGTCACGGACGAATCAACGCTCACACGTAACGGGATAATACTCGTAACTTCCGCAATACTTATAGGTGTATGTGGTCATTTGAAAATTCTCACGTAGTCCGTTGGTTACATTTTCAACTAACATTTTCTTTGGCTGTTTGGGCTGGCATGATAAAAGGTCATTGGGCCTTTTATTCTCCCAAATCTGCTGGACGGTTTACAATGGCTAGAATTTATTCGAAACATTTTACCATCACTGCTAGAAGGTGTGCGTTTGTGTAAGACAATCAGTGGTCGCCGAAAAACGGCGCTGGTAGTTACTAACTGTGGCGCTTACGACAGCGCGACGAATCTTACTATCGCTAACAGATGATGCTCGCGAAGCCTCACTGTTTTTATAAGTGCCGCCAAAAGATGGCGCTCATCGCGCCACAGTACCATACAGTGAGCAAAGACCTTTAATGATGAGAAATGGTCAAATCCCATATGTTGAATTTTTCGAGTGCCAAATCGTTTCATAAAATATTTGATAGGTCCAAACTGATTGTTCCATTGTGATTCTCGCTTATTGTAGGTGTCACCAAGATATGTTGTGTTGAAACGGTGCCAAGGAATGTGCAAGAATAGATCCTGCAGTGCTATCCACACTGCGAATAGAATCATATTTGTAACTGTCAAAACATTGGACGGCAGGCAACTGTGCAAACATGTACGGGTACATGATGATGAAGCCTGTGGTTGTTCGTGCTTTAAAACATGCAGTGATAATAAGAAACTGGATGAAGCATTGTGCAAATGCTTATGCTCTGACAAAGTGAGTTTTGATTGAATTATTGTCACGTCACATAGCTCACGAGCTATCAAGCAATCGTACGTATCAAAATGTAAATTGATGCATTGACAGAATCATTGCTGCCTGAAGTGACAATAGTATATTTCAAGATACATACATGTCTTGTTACATTGTGTGTGATTGTGACTAATTTGATGCTTTGGCACGATAAAAAAATGTCCAAGTACATACCAGTCTTTCTGCAAAGTGCCTTTTGCCTCATGAGTTTACATTGTAGACTGTGAGTTTGCGTGATAGCTCGTAAAATTTTACGTGATGTGACAACAATGTTCCAATTTTGTCGGGCTATCGTGAAATACTCTTTCAAAGGAGGTCGAAAATTACTTACCATATTACTTTTAATTAACCTTTTTAATTATACAAAGATTCATGTTGTTTAAAATTTGTAGACAACAATCAAAATCTTCATTTCAGACTTCCACTTTGAGATCACAACGTTTCGATTGACAAGTTATCTTCAATCGAAATGTTGTGACGTCAACATTGTATAGACAATGGAAGTCCGAAATAACGCTTTTGAGTACAATATGAATGTTCAGCTACCAGCTGTCAGAGAGGCACCTCACAGGTCGAACCTCTATTTATGAGGCAATAACCTTTTTATTTTAGATGAATCTGATTAGTCAATGTTTACTGAAGAATGCAACAAGTGGTAGGCATCTGTGGAACTCCAATGACTGTAGATGCCATTGTATTGAAGAGTCAATATGCTCAACAGGATCAGAATGGAATCATGACAAATGCGCTTGTATCAAAAGTGGGAAATAAAACAAGTCAGTAGTCTCTATTATTCAACTGAAAATGGCGTACTATGCACCACTGTGAAGGTGGAATTCTGTAGTCATACTTCAAATGAAACTTTATGCAATGTTTTTGTCGAATTCACTAACTGAGAGATAGCTAACGCGAGCAGCCAAATTTGGCCAATACATTCTTCAAGTGGATGTTGCCTTGGAAGGTTCGCAAATTAACGAATTCGGCCTTCACAATGACGATGCCCTCAGCATCATGAAAATAAGTTAAAATCTCTACATCTTTCTCAAGATATTTTGTCTGAAATGGTTTATTCTATAGCACGGGGTTTTTATTCGTGATGCGACTATAGGTTCTATTGAATGATGGCTGGATTTGGTTCCTGTCTGCAAAAACTTCTTTATCAGGAAAATAGAGCCAACTGAAGTTTACACATTTTTTCATAGCATCTCTATTCAGTGAATACAGTTTTTACTGGATTTGACAACTATGCAAGAGCAATCTAGTTGTGTGGAAACGTGCTGCGTAGTAAAGATCCCTCCGCACAACTATCAAAGCGACCACAAAAAAGAATTGAAAATAGCATATAGGATCATCCTTTTCAAATGTGGTGGAATAAAAGCACTTATCAAGTAAAAACAGGTATATTTATAGATCTTATGCACATTGTTTAAAAAGTACAACAATCAAAAATACCATAAAATGTGTACGAATTGCTTGAGGTAGTGTTGCAATTAGTAAATTCGTATAGCAATATTAACTTAATAAAACTTTTAATCCAACAACAATATATACTGTCCTCATCAATATCTGTTATAACTGCTAAACAATGTTCAAGCTAACATGTAGAGGCTAGTCATTAGTTATGATGGATACCTATATGACGTACAGAATTACCTTTTTTCTTGTTGTTGATAGTAGGTGCTCTGACTTGGTGAAAGAAACTAAAACACCCTGAAACTTGTACACTAAAGTGTTGATCGTGATACAGAATTCCGTCAACATTTGCATAGAATATAAGTTGATTCATAGCTACTACATCTGAAACTCAAACATCGCATAGGCACTTCACTCATTTGAACTCTCAAAAGGCCATAATAATGTGAAAAACTCTCTGAAAAACTAATTGATGTTATTCTTTATATTACAATTCTGCAATCATTCAATCACTATAATATGATATCTATACAAACAAGACATATCGATTAGTTTGACACAGAGTTCCTTGTTAGGCAACTTTCTTCTTTCTGTACAATGTAGAGATTGTGTATTTACATAAATCTGCAAATGAAACTTGCAACACTGCTTTGCTGAAGTATACGTACATATACAACATATACATTTATTATTCACATATTTCAGAGAAATTTTGTTTCCACATGATGTGTTTGTATTAGTTAGACAAAAAGATGGACAGCTCTGTATAGGAATATAGTTTTTGTGTAACTGTGACCATCGAAAATGATGGTCACTGAATTCGAAAAACATCAATATACTGATTTGTTTCATATTATTCAGCAATATTCCTCACTTCTAAAAATGATGAAATTTCAGTCTTGTGGAGGTTGCACTTTGTTGAAGAATAATCGTTTATGAATGTTGATGTAAACATCTAAAATATTCTCACAAAAAACCATCCATTTACAGTTAATAGTGGGGTTGTTCCATATCACAGGATATACTTTGAAGATGTAAATGTGTATCATAGGAATAATTTGTCATAAATTAACATATGGAAAATCGGTAACTGATTGAAAACTGTTATTTTGCCTTTCAGTATTCATAAAGGCGCGATTCCACCAATGTGCGAGACGAAGTGTTCTAGAGTGCGCGTATTCACATAAGCAGTGGAGTCACGACAGCGAACATTTACTCACTGTTGATGCACTTACTTCTGCTGCCGAATTGAAAACACTAGTTTGTGTATCGACTGGATGATTGATAAAATTTTCTTGTTTATATAAATGTGGAAGCTTATCCCAGCCATGGCGACCGTAAACAGGAATCAAAAGCTTGTTTGCTCCCAAGAATTAGTTGTTAGCGCAAAGTAAATACGGTTTCTTATCCGTCGATATTTAATAATACTGCTTTCATTCGTCTAACCAACCCAACCAACCGTGTATAGCGCTTATTGGCATCTGGCGGCCACAGTGATAACTCACCTGACAACGCGAATTTACAGTTTCAAGAGACAGCTGCTATTAACTCTCGTAGTGAGTGGGGAGCGGTGGGCCTAGCAGAAGAAACCAATCTTCTCCGAGAGCCAGGCTGCAATGAAGGCACTAAGTGCCTGTCAGATTACGTCGAGCATTGTATTGCAATGCAGCGAGGCTCTGGATTGTCTAGCAGCGAGGCATCCAGTATCGTTAGTGTGGGTACCGGGGCACGCTGGGATAAAAGGCAATGAGACAGCGGACGCTCTGGTGAAGACAGGATCAGCCGACAAGCTTGTTGGTCCTCAGCCAGCTTTAGGTGTGCCCGCACAAAGAGTTAGGGAGAAAATGGTGAAGTGGATTGCAAGACAACGGTTGCTGGTGGGATTGTTGTCTGACCATAATACGTGAAGGCGCCACCTGCACGTGATGGGGGTGGCTGACGATCCCGTGTGAGCGCTGCGGGGCAGAGGAAGAGACCTCGGTGCACGTTCTGTGTCGCTGTGAAGCTCTTAGCAGGCAGTCTATACTGGGGTCCACCACTTTGAACCGCTAGGACGTTGAAGAGCTTGGACTCAAAGCCATCCTCAATTTCGCTATAATGGCGAGGGTTGAAGTCTAAGGAATGTAGAAGTGCACAAGGGCCCGTCGAAGTGCCCTATGCGCTGGCTCCTTATGCTGGCCAGTATGCCTCCAATTTCATGATTCATTCATTCATTCATTCAACTCGCGTTGATGTTACTTGCCCTGTTGTATTTTGTTCGAAAAGCACAGCTTGTCGGCGGACAAAGGGAATCAACGTATTTGCAACACAGCTACTGGATTTTTGCGCAAAAAATTATCCACATACGATTTTGGTGGACTCTTACCTTATGAATAATTACGTATAATGGGCATGCAGTGTTCCAAAATAAATGTCTAAGACTGAAAAAATATTTCATAGAATGTTTCTCAATTATATCAACGTTTCTGTTCCTAGCATTAGTAAAGGGTCTCCATAAAAGTTGTAATACAAGAGCTGTTCCTAACATTGGTTGAACTTCACAGCAAATACATCGAATATCCTTTGACAATTGACATCTTCATACACATCCAGATTACATAAAATGCATAATGCTCCAGGAGTGAGTTCACTATGTTTACTGAACTGAAGTATTCACTAATGCAAACGGTATTAGGACGAGTATCTACTTCTCTAACTTTATGTCAACATTTATTACTGAAAAGTATTGCTCTGGAGCTAACGAAAAACTTGTTCCTCTATTTAATATGGCAATGAAGTAATAAAAGCACAACAGTCTCATTTTTACAATAACCTAAATACCTATGTCTAACCAAGAAGCAGGACTATTCATCTACCTGTATAAAAACCTACATAAGAAATGTATCATTCAGTCAATTTTCAAATTTTGATATAACAGTCACTGATTACGTTGGCCCGCGTCGCTACTCATATAGCACCAAACATGTACAATAAGACATTATGCTTGCTATAAAAGTGCGCTTTATATTCATTGATTTGTGATAATAGTACCAAAAGAGACACATAACACTAACATGTAAACGGGCCACTTATCACTCAAATGATTCGCTTTAGCGAATGCAAAAAATATAATAGGTATAAATTAGGTAACAAATGAAAATGATATAAATATAACATATGAACCCGTATCAGATGTGCGATTCTTCGCAAGAGGTGGAAGGTACACAAATTGCAAGCGATTTCATTTTTGGACACTTTTTGAGCAAACTCAAGGGCATCGGAAAGTATCGACTCTTTAATAATAGCTCGGAAGAATTTACTTAAAACGCCAAATCTTGATCTAACAATAATCTTAGGACACTGAAAGTCCGCGATCAGATCTTAAATAGGAATCAAATAATATTACTTATTATGACTCCATATCATCAGTTTGTGGTTTGTAAACAAAGTTGCAGTTTGTGCAATTTTACCCTCTACCTCATGTTTCACATGCATTATATAAAATTAGTAGAATAATACGTGTTGGAGATTCTTAATATAGTCGTTGGATCAAAAGACCAAAAACGCTACATTTTAGACTTACTGTAAATAAATACAAAAATCTGTTTTACCTGAGCGGGTAAAGAAAACTGACAGTTCGTTTTCATTGTGTTAAATATTAATTCGGTTGGGTTTGAGCCTGCAATACATATTACTTTTCCTTATATGGCAAATTTTATAAACAGAAACTTGGTATAGTTCTAGCAATTAAAAACAATGAACAATGGTTTAATATCCAAATCAAAATAATTGAAAATAAGTAACTTAACGTAGGTAAAGGCTATTCCAGGTTTCCGTTTCTTGTAAGAGAATAAATATGTACAAAATCAATATACTGTCATAATTTACATGGTACCGATACAATCGATTATAATTCTTTACTTTGGCTTTGTAATATAGCTCAAAGAAGCTATTTTATTTGCTTTCACGATACATATTCTATACAATTCGCGAACAACCTTATACAATACACTGTTATTTCACAGCCGGAACATCAACACCGGCTCGATGCTGACCGCCTAACGGAGATTCGATCCAGTGTATACTACCTATACTCCAGCTGTGGCAACATACTGTATATTAATTAGCTTTACATATATTTAACTAGCTTATACCAGGCACTGCACATCTTCTGAAGCAGATGGTTCAAACTATACACGCAAAATAAAATCAGAATCCTAACTGAATGAATGTATCACTGCAAATTATTACATATATACCCTATCTCACGAGTACCCATCAGGCTTTGACGTCTGCTGAGGTGAACAGCTGATCAGCAAGTGACATTTTTTGTGTTGATCTGCAACGTTGGCGTTTATGAATCGGGTGTAAATCTAGTAAAGCTTGTTTGTAGCGTTTTGTTTTTCGTATGCAAATGACCTTTTCTAAATAAAAGAGCTTTTAGCAAGTACAAAATGAATCTGTAGCGTACAAAAAAACTAAAACAAATTATGGCTCTGTCTGAAATATTACTAGATAATTAGCTGTCATTTTACCGTAATGGATACTCGTAAAAAAGACAGTATAATCTATATCATGAGTATCCATCACGGTAGAATGACAGCCAATTATCTAGTAATATCTCAAAATTCCCCATATCGGTACAGGACACATAATTCTGACGGATCCGTCAACGCCAGGAAGACAGAGCCGTATTTTGTTCTGTTTTTTTGTACGCTACAGATTCATTTCGTACTTCCTAACAGCTCACATTTGCATACAAAAAACAAAACGCCACAAACAAGTTTTAGATTTACTAGATTTATACCCGATTCATTATTGCCAACGTTGCAGATTAACACAAAAATGTCAGTTGCTGATCAGCTGTTCACCTCAATAGACGTCAAAGCGTGATTGATACTCGTGAAATAGGGTATATATAACGTGAGAGTAATTTTCATAACCTTAAATTTAAAAAATCAATAACAACACCGATTTGATCGACATAATCATAATACATGAAACACCCCTGTTAAACGTTATTTACATACCCAAACGTACATACTATTTTTGGTCCCCTGTAGATAAACTAAATGCTATGGTTAAGGATCAACAAACAAAAAAAAAATATAGTCAATGTGTAATACTGTGCAACAAATAAAATGAATTCTATACCTCATCAAATGGTACGTATCAGTCGCCAAGTACAAGTTAATCGAATAAAGGAATTTGCCCATTATACCCCACTAGTATTGGATCCAACACGACTGGTAGTAGCGATCAAACTGAAATTCTTTACTAGGATGCACCGAATGTAACATCTGTACAAATGACTAGTTTTGTATATCGTTTTCATGACGTATAAGCCATGTCTTGGATGAAGATCAAGAAGAAACTTTGGAAGCGTTTAATCAACGGTTCAGCTTAACTAACACCATCAAACTTGACAGCCAAGTGAAATCTGCTGTGTTGCTGTCAAACTGACGTTATCCCTTGGCTATTGTTGAAAAATTTTGAACATTTTGAATATAGATCATAAAAAAGTTATGAACTTATTTTAATGGAAATATTTAGTTATTGTTGTATTCATGTACTGTTTGCAAAAACAAATAGTTCACAAGGTTAATAATCACTTTAAAATAAAGGAACCTCAAAAAAGTTACGAGGTCTTGTAAAGCAAGGTTTGAACTTTAATTTAGAGTGTTCGTGACGTCAAAGTTATAATTTTTAACCGAGTTTTTTAACTCCAAAATGGTCAGCTGTAGGGAAAATTTAAATGAAGCCCTTTTTCCTTGAAATGATGAAAATAACCTAAAAAAATGCTCGGGCAAAAAAATTTTAATTTATTTAAAAAAAAGTTGAAAACAAATTTGATCTGGGTTACCGTGCGGGTATATTCAATCCTTAAAAACTCTTTTAACATTATAATTTTTAGATCGCCAAGTATATAAATTGAAGTTAAAACTTTGCTCTACACGACAATGAAGACCATTTTCAGGTTATTTTTTTTAAAGTGCGTTAAACCTTGTTTTTCAGAACAAAATTGATGAAGTCGTTACTATTATTTAGAGAGGTTTTCGATAAGGTTCTGCCTGTTGTTCGAATTGGGATTAATGATGTTTTTGAACCTTGAGGTCATTTCTTGCCAAATTTTATAAGCTATTGAGAAATATTTATTGCCCTATATCATATACAGTTGGTCAAAGCCGCTTACTCAAGATTTTTGAATTTGGGTTTTGAGTGGCTTTGGAATCGCCTGAATAGAGATAAGCAGATCCTTAATTTGGACTCAGCGACTCGATTGCTCGATTCATTTTGAATTTGGCTTGAACTGACTTCAGATTGGACCAGCAAAACTTGAGTTACGCGTAGAGACAAACTATGTATGTATTTTTTGTCAGCGTTTCATTTTCTGGACAACTGTGCGACGTCTAGCAAAATTACGCTATATTCATGGCTGAATAGTATGATGATGCGGTGTAACGACAGTGTACAAAAAAACTATACGGGGAGACGTGTGAATTAAGTGGAATTTAAAAGAAGAGTTACGTTTTGAGTTTCGATAATAAAACAGGTATCAAAGATGTAAAAAAAATCAAGATCCTCTCATATGTTCAAATTCCTTTTTATAAGAAATAAATTAAGAATTCAATGATATTTATTATAACCGTACAACTTGGCGACTGATAGTATCAAACCTAAAAGCAACTTAAGTTCCCCTCAAAATAGCTGTACACACGTAGTTCAGGAATTCTCTCAGCCTTAGGAAAGCTATAGGACATTATAAATCTAGCGACTAAATATACATATCACATTCAGTTAATACAATTAACAAATAACATCGAACACTTAATGGTATTCTTGGTAAAACGACTTACATAATATTATACATAAATATAAAAAATAAAAACAGGATATGCTATGGTTGCGACGGACAGAGTTCCATATTATTGTTATCTGGAAAAAAATAAAACATAAGATTAATGACTACAGTTGATATGTTGACAGTTTTAACAAACTAGAGAAATACAATCAAATAGTACTTCTGAAGCATTGATATAAATCTATTTAAAACTTTAGCTGCATGAATATTTTTGACCCCCAAAAAATGATTTGAGAGCTAAGCACTAAAGTGATGAGACAGTTGAAAAACGACAAAGTATAAATTTAGATTTTTTTAAATAATTTTTAACCCTTAAAAATTTCTGTCAACCATCACTAATGACTAGCACTCGGAAAACATCGAAAAACGAAGCTAGAGGACGATCGAAATATTTTTCTCGTATTTATTACTCGGTTACCTCCAGAGCAATTTTAAAAACCACAGAGCTTCTTCATGAGAGTAATCGAGCGTAAACATTCCATTCAAATCCATATAATTTTTACATTCTTCGCGCTTACTATACTCGCCAACTATCGAATGTTTTGTTGAACAATTATAACATCTGACCACTTGTCATATTCTGAGAGAATATGAAAAAATACTAATTAATTGCGCTTTTCAAACGATGCAGGACCCTAAAAGGGCAGAAAATAATGAGCCCTTTTGATGCCATTTGTAGTGATGGCAGATGTTTCACAAACTGTGATTTAGTAACCGTAAGCCTTATAGGCTTTGATAGTTGGCCCCATGAAATTTTTTTGCGGTATTTTGCTCGGGATATCAGTATACCCATAATCTTATCGTTTTTTGAAAGACACTGATATCAGAAAGTAACATTGCCAGATATCAGAGATATTCAAAAATACCGATATCGGTCATCTCTAGTCCTTTGGTTGCTTGACCAAAGAGTTTATACAATATAGGTATGATGATAGCACATTGAAAGCTCACGAGACAGCAATGTGACATTGCAGTGATTACAAAAAGTCGCGCAAGGTTGCGGATTTTGCCTTTAATTAGATTGGGTGGAATATGTTTAGTCAGTATTGATTGAAATTAAGCATGAGTACGGTGGCTTCGCCAACCACGTATGGTTACCGGTATACAGGGTGTCCCAGAAGTCGACGTCTAGCCCGAAACGAGGGTAGGTCAAGTCTGACTCAGTCTAAGAAAAAAAAAATAAAATTTGTAGTAATGGGAACTAAAAACCATCACAGGGTGCAGACTTTTACGATTTTTTAAAGCCTATAATGTGAAAAGTACACGTCTTAGATATATTTTATATTTTTTGACGTCACCTTCTGGGACACGCTGTATACCTGTCGACCACCTGGAAAGTTGATGCCATGTTTAACAATAAACATTTTTTTTTTGAAGAAAAATGAATGTTTTTATTATTTCTAAAGGAATTTACTGCGATCCTATTTGGCAACATGGCTGTGACGACGGAATATGTAAGTGGGCGTCCAAATACGCAGTCTTACCATATCAGTACAGTTCCCCAGATCCAAACTCCGTCCTACTATCATTGCTTCGCGCCAGAGACTGCGAATGCAGATAAGACGTACTTCGAGGCATGCCTCCGACGTGTAGACTTACTTCGTCATCAGAAACATTGTAGTGGCCTATTAGATCCTCGCGAGGTTGTGTACTAATGGCAGGTGCGTTGTACGGACGTTGGCGACCGTGAATTAACCTGATAAAGGAAAATAACAGATAACCACAAGTCGCTCTTTTTCTTTTTTGACTTACAGTAGGAACACTTCGACTGTCAAAGTTTCATCAAAATCCGAATAGTACCTTCTAATCCCCCATGCTTGTCTGGCACAATCAAACCACATTACGGGTGTTTCAAATTCGACCCTCACCATTGAGATCTCGGCAACGGCAAGAGATACGAAGTCGCTTAAAGTTGAATATTTAGGTAACTAACAAAATAGAGCTTAGAAAGTTTCGGAATTGAAAGTACTCCCGGAGAGAGACAGAAAAACATACGGATTTTCTCAAAATCGTTTTAATTTTTAATTATTTCCTGATTTTATCTGAAGTGGGAATAACATTGCCGCTGTTTCTCATCTATAAGATGGCATAATTAGAATTTCAAGATGACGTTTCGTCTCTAGTATCTCACCATCAAATTTATTCTTTTTTATAGACGCCATATTGGATTTTTTGCGCAGTTAAATATAGTTCTTTATTTTGATTTCAAAAATGTATAATATGATATACATTGACATTGACCAACCCATAAATAATCTAGAAAAACCGAAGTTCCTAGATGGGCCTTGAAATTATCATATATTATACATTTTTGGAGACAGAATTAAAAATTCTATTCATCTGTGCAGATATCCGATATGGCGACTATAATTGATAATAAAAAATAAAGTTGATGCTAGAGGACAAGAGACGAAACGTCATATTGAAATTCTAATTATGCCATCTTGTAGAGGAGAAAAAGTGGCAATGTTAATGTGCAATTATTTTCTAAGCGGCATTTTGTTAATTACCTAAATACACAACTTTGCCCCCATTTAAGAAACTTCGTATCTCTAACAGTTTCCGAGATCTCAGTGGTGAGGGTCGAATTAGAAACAGTCGGTATATATTCTTTATTGTACGATATTTCGCATATGGGAGAACAGTGTCAGCTTTGGCAGACCACTTGAAGGTGGCGTTTTTCACCTACTTGCACACAGTATCAGTGCCATTCAGATAATATTAAAAAAACTGATTTGCAGTAGCGTCCTTTAGGGGGCTGTATCTCTATACAACCTATGGCATCATTTTTTGCGTTCTGTAGGTCTCCGAGAGATTGGAATCGCCTTCTAAGATACCTTGTATAAAACTTGTAAAAAACACGATTCCTTTAATAATACCATGTATTCCAGCTTTTTGCATAATATTGGTCGTGGGTCTATAATGCGAGGAACGAATGTTTGTATCAGCTCTAACACAAAGTGTGTTTTTAACTATTTGTCAAGTAGACACTGGTAACAATTCGAAATTATTTTATCCGATAAACCACCGGAGACAAAAATGCACATACCTGTGTTCCAAACCTTCTCGACTATGTATGAAAGAAACAAGCTTAAAATCGGCGCTAACGCTATTTTCTAGCTTTTCTACTATGTCCCAAAACGTAAGCCGGTCATTAGGTTTCCAGCACCAACATTGTCGCATAATCTCATACAGAAGATCGGAACATTCTGGTGGTCGTTCCATTCTACCTTTTGAAATCACAAACTGGAGCACTTGCTCATTTGATAGACCTAAAATAAAATTAGGGTATCCCATAGAATCGTACCTGCGTATCTAAAAAATGATATATGGAGAAAGTTTTCTTGTTGATTATTTCACCCTCCAAAATCCCAATAGATATATCGAGATCTTGTTTGAAATGAAACCAACAATTTTAAGAAAAGCATCATGCTCGTTTATATGGCTGGTATTCCGACAACTGAGTTGCTGGTTGAGGAGAGATGCGCGCTATGGTGCATGGACTAGAAGGCCCAGCATATGGTTGTTTTGACACCTACCTGAAGAGCGTAGGAATGAGTGCATATATTTCAACGAAGAAGAATGTGGTAGATGTGTTGTCTACCAGACACAGCTGGAGTTGTCGCTCGGCGAGATGCTCACTGCTGACAATTTTGCCAGGCATTTAAGCGAGTGCGAACTAGTTAATATTCAACCGGAAGTTGAGACGAATGATGCAGACTAATGTGCAGGAGGACAAACATAGGCCAAGTACATAAGTACGTATGTATATGCACGATGCTGAAAATTATACGACTAAACACCTAAGGTATATAAATTTGGCGCACCGTGACGGAATTCTGCAAGCATCACCGTGCTGGGAGGCGTAGTGAACGACTGAGTGGTTTTAGTGAGTATGCCACATTTCTGGAGAGTCTCACACTTCGGGCTCGAGAGGACGATGCGGCAATACTATCCAGCGTTTTGCCTGAGACTGGCTATCAAAGCTTTCCCCTGTCAAAAAAATGAGACCACTCAATGTCCATCTTTGAGCAACGATTCATGAAAAAATGAGAGAGTACCGTTCTAGTACGTGTGAACAATTCTAAAGCGTTCTTCCATCGTAAAACGATCTATAATTAAATTCGGGGTCTCTAAATGACACAAGCGGAATATATATTATCATTAAAAGTAGCGCTATATTTGAATCTCGATGTATCTATTGGGAGACCTCTTAAATTCTCGATTTTATTCATATTTTTTTGCTATACTTTCATTTTCGAATTATTCTGGGGCTAACATATGATCGTACCTTGATAAGGCTGCTCAGCCAATGTAGCTATTTCCCACAGGACGATCCCATAACTCCAAACGTCCGAGTCTGAAGTGAACACTCCATCAGCAAGACTTTCTGGTGCCATCCATCTAACGGGTAGCAAACCTTTAGTTTCCTTACGATAATAATCGTTTTCGTATATGTCCCTTGTCATACCAAAATCACCTTGAAAAAAAATTCTCATTTATCATCATAACACTTTTTTTGAGCTTCTACATAGCATAGGGAAGAATTGCCGAAACGTAGTTTGAAATTAAGTTTTTAACGCTTCAGTGTGCTTCTGCCAATTTTCCCATGATATGCGAGCTCCATTTATCCCAAACCTCAGGAGTGGTGCCGCTACGTTTTTTATTACAACAGATAGCCTGCGTTTTCGAATATTTAATTTTGATCGGCCATTCCAATACCTCATCCACCTGTAACCTGTCGTGAACCAGATTCCCGAAACGCGACTAGGCCACCGATGCAGTGTCATCAGCATATAGATTGACTTCACAGTCTCTAGGGCAAGGGATGTCATGCATAAAAAGTGAGTACAGGATTGGTTCGAGAACAGAATCCTGAGGGAATTCAAGGGTTTGACCAAAGCACAATCTATACAGTGCTTTTCCAAAAAGTCCCCACACCTTTTCTTGGAAAGGGTCGCCTTAGCAAGCTGGAATTCGAAGTAATCAAATTGTAACATGAATGGCGTTATTTGGAACATTTTTTTAAATGGATTGGGCGGTCCTTATTTTGGAGCTCTTTACGAGTACTTGATAACCGTAGAATATAAAATCGTCATCTTGGAGAATGGCGAATCGGTTGGCTGTCAAAGTTAAGCGTTTTGTATACCGAGTTGCTTATAATTCAACAACCAATTATCAAGTATGTTGTATCAATATTTTTTTTTGGAATCCGAATATTAGTCTGATCATATTAACAAATTTCCCCGAAATAATTGTAAAGTCTGGTCTTGTTTAATAAACTAGTAGTGACGGCCGGAAAACAGGTGTTTTGGGATAAACAATTAGAAATTCTCGAAAACTACTTGACCATTCGACTCCAATTTTGTTGTGGTTATTTAACCATCGTCGCAGTACCAACAACTGCCAAAACCTGTAGTTTGCCTCCGTTTTCGGCCATAACTTTTTGCTATGTGTGGTCTCATTTTGTAGGTCCATAAATATCTAAAAATCGTATATGAAAAGTTTTTTCGTTCCTATCAACACTTTCGATTGAATCCCAAAAAACACGTTTTCTCATTCTTTGTCGTCGAATAAAAAGTTTTCCCACAAAAATTCGTGTACCCATTTTATGCGTCCATATTTTGAATAACTCCATGAACAACTTGCAGCAATAAAACCAGACTTTACAATGTTATTTCGCGAACCAGGGGTATTTTCGTCTAATATGATTAGATTATATAGAACAAAATATGAAACATTTTTTTATAATAATAATATCTCATATTTCATTGCACATTCAGATACTCTTCCATAAGAAGAAGATTGATAAAACATGTTTAGATAATTAGATGTTAAAACGTAGGCGATTCAATATACAAAACGCTCAACTACAACAATTTTTCTGTCCACCATTTTACATTTTATAGGGATGTAAAGTACCTCATGGTATCACCCGACCCTTTATTCCGTTAGAAAAATTTTACAGCAAGCTGCCCAGGCGCATCCTTCAAATTTTCGCCTCTTATTTTTATGTTAAAGTATAGTATCAATTTCATCATTCCGAATTTCAGCTTGCTAACTTGATCCTTTCAAAAAATAATGCATTCTGAAAAGCACTGTATACACATACACAAGATACTATAAAATTGAACATTACCTATTTTTACAGTTCTATCTCCAGCCACCATACAATTTCTAGCAGCTAGGTCTCTATGTACAAATTTTTTGGCTGCAAGATACGCCATCCCATCAGCAATTTCGATGGCCATGCGGTATATTTCGTTTGAGGTTAGACTGTGGGAAGAGTCTCGCGTCTTCCTCAAAAACTGTTTTAGGTCGCCACGTTCCATAAGTTCCATTACGACCAGTGAAGGCTGACCTTTAGATACCACACCTAATAATCTGTAAAAAACACAAAACCAATATTATACTAATAATAATAGTATTTATTCAGCAAAATATAAAACTA